ATGACAATCAGACATACCGTTGGACAGACGGTCAGGATTTGGCGGAGCACAGGGAGTATGTTCTACATGCGCTCGAAGGTAGAGGCTCTGGCAAAGTGTATCAAACCAAAGGTGATCTCGTCTTCATCATTAGAGATGATTCTAAGAAAGGTTGCGACAATCTTTCCTGCCCAGGAGTAGGAGAAGACACACTTCAAAGAATCAAGAGGAGCCCTCTTTCCATCACACTTGAACCACTTCTTGATTGGGGAACCGTCTCGCCGGCTTCTGACATGTGCGTGGCTTCTGGTAAAATCATCGCTTTTCGCCGTAATGGACCGAGAATGAATGATCCTTTGTGGACTCAGCAGGTCAAAAAGTTGGTACCTAAGCAGACACGCACCTACTGCTTGGACTGCCTGGAAGAGCTTGTGAACCGACGGGAAGAGGCGCAGTCTACCATCAACCGGTCCGCGGGTCAGTCTCAACAAGCTAGATATCACCATGTTCCTGCTCGACCTATTCAGCGTCCAACTTCTAGGAGCGAACTTTACGATATGAGGGAGGGCAGCGAGTCGGACGATGCCTCGAGCTGTGAGGTGCTGGTTTCCTCGACTGCTGGCTCGCTACAGCTCGATGGCGTGATTGAACAAACTCCCTACACAGAGTCCCGTAACTATGCACCCGCCAGGATGAATGACCGCGAGAGCTCTTGGGCGGTTGAGCACAAGACGGGCTTCGTTACGCATACAATGAGCGGCAAAGAACTATCTCGTTCACAGCGCCTTCCAGGTCCCTACTCTCCACCAGTCGCTCATAGCAGAGTTGACAGCGTCCACTCCCATTCATCGACTGGCAGCTCTTCTTATTACCCTCTCCCTTCCCGCAACTTTCAACTGTTGACTTTGGGATCATCAGAAAGCTCCGCTTTGGTTTACCGAGACCCTACATCAGTACAGCAAAACGAATACAAAAAACTGGGTAGCGCAATCCTCCTGGAGAACAGTGTACCTGATTTTGGGAGTGGTCATCGCGAATTTGGCCGTGACGTTGAAACCAACCTTGTCTGTCGTTTCTTCACTAATCACCGAATAAGACGCGAAAATATGACAAAAACCGAGGACACCAATATCTGCAACACCTTCACAGTAGTGAATCCACACGGTCCTCTAACACTCAAACGCTCGGTCAAGACCAACAACATAAATTACGAAGAGTTGAATCTGAGTGATGATGCGTCTGACGCTGTAAATGAAGACGCCGATCCAGACACACCGGATGGGGAATATACACCTACCAAGAGCGAGGGAAAAGCTAGGCCAAAGTTTGTATCGCCGAATAAGAAGAGAAAAAGACCAAGCCCGCCGTCAAAGCCCACAGTGAAAGCACAACAATTCTACGCACCCGTCTACCGCAAGCACGACCCAACCACCGACGGCTCACCACCCTTTAGTGTCACTCAAGCAGCCTTCGAGACATACAACAAACACTTGCCCGTAAAGAGCGACCTAATCTGCTCCTGCCACAAGCCTGCGCGTACGAATGAGGTTCCAATCACGCAATGCGTGAACAAGGGTTGCAAAGTAGGCTGGTACCACAAAGATTGCCTAAGCACACGTGGCAAGTTACAAGCTAGACATGGAACCTACCTCTGTGAGCAATGCCAGAATGAAAACTACTATGCGGAACTATCTCGAACCAATGGGTGGTCTGGAAAAAGATTGGTGCAAAATGAGGTTGCGATGCCTTTTACTGGGCACGAGATGGCAGGAATACTTGGTAACACGGGTAACTTCCAGGCTGTCGCGAATCCGTATGGTCTTGCAATGTCAGCTACAAGTAACGCGCTCTCCCCTTTTGCTCAACCGTTCATTCCGGGTATTACGGCTGCAACAGATGCTGCGGTTTCGAGTCGTCTGGCGGTGGGCTCTGAGCCTTCTCTTGGTTTGGAGACGTCGCGCCCCTACTTTGTTACGGAGGCTTATACTAGGGCGGGCGAGTACCAGCATGTTGCCGATGAAGCGTGGGAGAATGCGCAGATGTGTGGGCACTACTCTGATGAGTGAGATGAGGAGATGCCTGAGGGCAATGAGGAAGACGAGAATGCCACTGAGTTGTGATAAGATTCTGCATGACCTTCATGGTATAACGCGGAACAAACAATTTGGAACTAGGTTATTCCAAGACGAATGCGTATTGCTTCACAAGTGCTTCGTACAAGTCAAATAGAAAAACCAATAGACTGTTCTGTTCTGTATTTTTGACATCTATCTCGGCACAGGAAGGGTTTAGTCCACCCTTCCGATCATCGATAGCAGTACCGCGATGAATAAAGACTGTATAATAGCTGAGAAACGCCGTCAGAATCACATTCGGAAAATGAGAATTCGAAGCTGCCCAGGGCCGCAAGCTCACAGAGAACATATATTCTGCCTGGCGAAGTGAAGAAGCTTGGTGCGCGCGCACGAAAAACGGGCGAACTATTCAGTTACGTCATCCGTACTGCAACAACCACCCATGCCATACCTCGGGCTGCAATCGGCTGTACCCGCTTTAGCTGCAGGGTCTCGGGGTATGCGGAGTGACATGTATATCCGTAGTTAGACGTATAGATTGAGCTAATGTCCTCTGTTCAACTTGATCCATCTTTGTCGGGGATCTAATCATCCAATTATTGCAATCCAAACTCAAGAAAAGTAATACGATTCGCTTGCTCAACTGAGAATTATGACTAGCTCACAGAAACGAGTTGGACTCATCGGTCTCTCGGCCAAAGGGTAAGTATGCATTTGGAACTGTATCATACGATAGCTCAATTGACGTCAACGTTCAGATCATGGGCGTCCAGCTCTCATCTTCCCCACCTCCAGCGCACCCCTCACTATACTATTACTGCTCTCCAAAATAGCTCTCTTGACTCAGCCAAAGCATCAGCCAAACAGTACTCTCTAGACTCGGTTTCCACCCACGACTCCCCCAATTCTATTGCTCAGGATCCCAATGTAGACATCGTAGCCGTCAGCGTCAATGTACCCCTACACTACGCGCTCATCCGTCCCGCTCTCGAGGCAGGGAAAGACGTATTCTCCGAATGGCCCTTAGCGCGGAATTTGAAAGAAGCAGAGGAATTGACTGCTTTGGCTCAGGCAAAGGGCGTGAGAACGATGGTGGGCTTGCAAGCCCGTCAAAACCCTTCGATTCTCAAAACAAAGGAAATCGTTGAGTCAGGAAAACTAGGGAAAATCTTGGGGACGACGATGTTCGGTCATGTAAGAATATCGTCAATCACATCCTTCAGATTTGAATGACAGAAGAGGGATGCATTGGCATGAATAAACTTGCTGACGAACAACAGGGCATGATATTCGGCGGCACAATTTTTCCCTCCCATCTATACATGCTCCCAGTCGAAGCAGGCGCAAATGTCCTCACCATTCCCTTTGGTCACGCTGTCGACGCGCTCTGCTACGTATTTTCTAGCGAACTCCGCTCAATCTCCGCCGTGCTATCGAACCGCTACCCAGAACTTGAGTTGATCGATGAGAAGACCTACCAGCCCAAGGGTGAGAAGAAAAGTAAAACTTCCCACGACTTTATTTCCATGACTGCAGAACTTGTCAACGGAGGCGGCAACGTAGATGTCAATTACGCTCCGGGTTTGTCGCGCAGTGGACGAGATTTCTACTGGGAGATTATCGGATCCGAGGGTACACTTGTCTTAGAAGGACCGAAGATGGGTGGACATGTGCAGATGTTCCAGCCTACTGTCAAGATCGCACTGGGTCAGGAAGAACTCAGAGAAGTTGAAGTGGAGAAGGCTGAGGATACGTCGTTTAATGTGGGGAGGGCCTGGGATGCGTGGGCTGGGGAAGGTGTAGGCAGTGTTACGACCTGGGAGGATGCTGTTGTTAGGCATAAGATGATTGAGGCGATCTACAGAAGTGCGGAAAAGGGTACCAAGGAGGATTATGTGTAGGCTATCATAAGTCGCTCTGGTTCAGAGGGTATAAGGCGGTTCAGAAACGTTGGTAGCTCTCGGGAGACAGGACAAATGGATAGAGTTTAGCGTGGAAATCTTCGGCTGTGGCGTCTCATGGCAAAACATCTACATCATACCTTCCCGCCCATCAGAAATCTGTCTGTTACAACCCATCACAATTGTAAGAACAGCCTCGAATATACATCGGTCTTGTTCTCCAGCATCACGCACCCAATTATAGAATCTCCCGCTCTGACAAGAAGATCATAATGCCCGCCAAGCCGACGCTAACTCGCATCCGCTTTTTCTTACGTTATAGTTAGCAACGCCGCCTAGCAACCTCGAGCTGTTAGTCAAGTCCCTTATGAACCGTGATGTCAGAGGTTCAGGTTTTGTTTGCACCTCATGGTGACCGCCGAGCGAAGATGGGGCGAGCTTCTGTCGGCTCCATCTCCACTCGACCACCCTAGCTACTACCTGCGACGAACTTTAGGCTTGGTGCTTGTCAGAAGCTTGTCTCCCAAGAAGCCTTGCACTTAGAGGTTATTGTTCCCTGGTGTACTGTGACAGCAAGGTCGGTTTCACCGTATTCGACGTGTACCCTGCGAATAGCTGCGTTGTCCCGTCTTCTGGCCATACGACTCGCACTCAAACTACGACAGAGAAAAGTTGCAACCAGAGCGAAGAGTGTGAAGGCGTGTGTAAGCAACTGGGTGACTGATGCTTAGTCGCCATCTTTACATCCGTCGATACAGCTTATAAGCCAGACCGGCAACGCTAGCTCCGTCTTCGCCTTGGCTTATCGTCCGTGGCCATGGCTTCCCCAACATCAACTTCGAGGTCTTCGACAAGTCTGAGCTCGCAAGCTGTCGACGAGAAGCGCGATCGACCATTGAGTCCAGATATCTCAGGAACACATCCTTCACAGCCAGATTCGAAGTCTAGTCCTACGTTCATATCTTGGGCCTCATCGACCGACTCTTCGAATCCTTTCAACTTCTCTTCCTCGAAAAAATGGCGCACGACGCTTCTAGCCTGTACCATGACATTCGTCGTACAAGTCTCAGGAACAATGCTCACATCCGCCGCCGAGCAAATCAACACCAGCTTCAATATCAGCGACGAGGCATTCCCACACTCCTACTGGCCAGTGTTGAGTTGGAACCTGGGAGGCGCCGCAGCACCGTAAGTATCTCTGTGCGAACTGCATGTGAGACACATACTAACTTTGTACGCTTACATTTAGACTCTTGGGACTGCCTTTGATGGAGAACTTTGGGGTACGGTGGAGTTATCTGGTCATCTACGCAGTTCTGATCATCTTCATCATTCCACAAGCGTTAGCCAAAAACTTCGCGACAATCATTGTAACGAGGATCATTACAGGTTCTTGCTCGGGTGTGCTTGCCAATATAACGTCGGGCATTGTGAGTGATATATGGAAAGACGGAAGAGCGAAGAGTTTCGGTACCTCACTTTACATTTTCGCCCTGCTTGCGGGTCTTAACATGGGGCCTGTTTTCGGGAGTTTGGTAGTGCAGTATACGACCTGGCGATGGTGAGTCATGCTCTGGCTACTGCCTTCTCTACTTTAACTAACCTAAATGTAGGGTCTTCCTAAGCCAGATCATCTTCTATAGCGTCCTTATACCGGTGCTGTTCTTCCTCCTCCCCGAGGTTCGACCCGATGTCATCCTCACTCAGCGTGCACGTCGTATTCGCGCAGAGACTGGAAAAGAGGTGTATGCACAGGCGGAGAAAGAGCATACAAATTTTGGTGAGATCCTTAGGGAGACGCTTGTCAGACCCACACGCATGCTCTGTACCGAAGGCGTAGTTCTGTCTTTTGGAATGTGGAGCGCTTTCTGCATCGGCACAGCGTTCATGTTCACACAGTCCATCGTGCAAGTCTTCTCGGAGTTGTACGGCTGGTCTTTCTTCGGCACGGGTCTTGTGCAGTCCGCAGTCGTGATTGGGGAGCTTATCGGCCTTGTCGCATCCCTAGTTCAAGATCGAATCTACTTCGCATCCGCGAAACGCAACACGGATACACCAGGAAAACCGATTCCTGAAGCACGACTCTATCTCAGTATTCCAGCTTCGTTTATTGGTCTAAGTGGCGGACTGTTCTACTTCGCGTGGACGTCCTACGCTTCTATATCATGGATTGTACCTAGTATATCGCTCGCCTTTGTTGGTTTTGGTATGTTCTGCAGCACGGCTGGAGTGACGACGTATGTGGTTGATGCGTACGCAAAATACGCTGCTAGTGCCATTGCAGGCATTGCATTCCTTGAGAACTTCATGGCAGCGTTCTTACCGCTTGCAACCCAGAGTATGTACCGTACGTTGGGCTTCCAATGGGCGAGTAGTTTGTTGGGCTTCATTGCATTAGCACTGAGTTTCATTCCTTTGATATTGTTGAGATTTGGGAAAAGCATACGTGGAAAGAGCCCATTCATGAGTGAAGCGGGGTACGAAGATTGAGTGTTAAGATCGTTTGATGATTGTTAAATATCAAGACAAAGAAGAGAAGACGTATCTTGCTTGTGGACAGCCCTGGCGTGTTGTGAACAAGAACCCATGTGTAACGCATCATTCGGGCGTCGGCAGGTGTGCCACTCTTCATTTCATCGCCGGAGCCAGCGCGATTGCAGAGAACCTCAGGTCGCCACCTTTCTCAGACTCGATCCTCATCAGACGTCCAATGCCCTTCTCCAGCGCCGCAGGACTAAGCACATCCTCATCCTCGTTGAGCACACCTCGGTCGAGTGGACCCATACGACCACCTTCGAGTTCCCACAAGTGGCCATCTTTTGCTTTGACGAACGCCACGAAATGCTGACCGAGATGATACTCCTCTATTGCTACAGGTGCTTCTGTGTCTCCAAGTTTTGCTGCGTCTGCGTGAGCCTTCTCAAATGCGTCAGAGTCTTCGAGCAATTTCGCCCGCTGCCAGATGGGTTTTGGTAGCGCATCATCGCGGATCTTAGCGAGGGTCGAGGATGGCTGGATGTGCTGTGCAGCTTCGCTGTTGAGGAGACAGTGCACCAAGCCTATGCTTCCGCAAGCGTTGCCTATAGTTTGCTTGAACCATATGACGGGTTCTGTGTCGCCCTTGCCCTCATACTCAGATTTGTCTCTGTCTTCTACCGTTCGCGCCTCATCCCATGTAGGCGTCAGAGGTATGATAACGAGTAGTGCTATGGCTGGTCGCGGGATGAAAGCCAGCATGTCCGGATCAGTAAGTGAGTAGACATCGTAGAAAGAGAGCGCATTCGTGTCCAGACCGAGGTTTTGAGCCAAGGAGTTCATGACTTCTGGGTTGTTCTCAAGAACAGTAAACATCTTTTTTGGCGTCATGTTGGTGGTAGTTGCGACAATTGTAAATCACAGATGATCGAGACAAGCTGGCTTGTGTTTGATGGCAGGTCTGAGATTATCAGTCTTAATGAACACGCTGGATACCAGGCAGCGATGAGACGCGTAACAGCTAGCCTCGTTGTTCATTGGTGTAGGCAGCCACTGCAGGTACGCTGCAGGTAAGTCAAAGGGCGCGCAGGACAGACCCTTGCCGAAAGTGGAGAAGGCTCAGGCCCGCTCAGAGGGGAGGGGAATGAGACCCTGCGCTAACCCTGAGCTAAGTGCGGGGCATTCACTCCCGGCAGCAGCAGCATTCCATCAAGCTCCAGATGATACAACATCGTCTCGTATGCTGATGTATTGAGACCTATCTTATGCATGTATGCCGTCTTGCTCTAGTCGAAGGGTGCTTCCCCGCACGCATCTAACGTCGCGGACCTCCGAGCAATCTGAAAGCTTTGGTGGCTTCCGCCGGCTCTCCGCAGTAGTAAAGTCCAGCGCTTATACTTACGCCTTTTTACCCACCACACGTATCTATATAGCTGCAGTAGAGTCTCCAATATCAGACACTTGAATCCAAACTTTCCAAGTAAACAAGTAAAGAGGACAGCCAACCCCGAGCCTACCATTTCACGCTACCGAACTGCCCAGCCCATCATGGACGACGAAGCCCGTCAAGCAATGGCAAGCATGAAGATGCCGCGCCGTCCTATAAACTTCGTTTCTGCGAAGTCGGGGGAGATACTCAAACTAGGACATATCACTTGCAGAATCATGGAAGACGGATCACGAACAGACAACCGCATAGGCTCAGCAGAGTTCACGCTACCTCCGAACACGGCTGGCCCACCAGCACACTGGCACGAGATGCACGACGAGACATTCCTCGTCACACAGGGAATGGTGCGGGTACGTCTTGACCTACCCTTCCTGTCTTTTTTTCTTAGATCAAAAGACTAACACTCGAGATAGTTCCACGCCCCCGACGGCGCCCAACACGATGCCCACGTCGGAGATTATGTTACCGTACCTATCCGCGCACCTCATACTTTCTCAAATCCTACAAACGAAGAAGCCAAGTTCTTCAACACGTTCACGCCGGCGTTCTACATCGATTACTTCAAAATCCTGGCTGAGATAAGTAAGACAGATGACAAGATGAGCAAGGAGAAGAACATGGAGGTCATGAGCCGGTTTGCGACAATACCTGCGAAGGAAATGCTGGAGGAAAAGAAATAAGAAAGGGAGGTTCTCTCACTAAATCGATAAGAGGATTGTATTAGGAATGGAATCGAGCGCATCTCATACGCAAAAAAGGCTGCCACAAACAAAAAATAGAAATAATAGTACAAGAGAAAAGCCTGCTTTCCCACCAGACTTCTCGAGAACCGGCTCCGCGATATGTTTCAACCCCAAGATCGGCTTGTCGACAAACCGTCTTCAAATCACAGTTCCATCCTCCTCGTCATCTACTCTACAGATACTGCACTCTTGATATAACTTTCCGCAAAACTCTCTAACAGTCATCTCGGCTCCCACGTCAGCACCCACAAGATGATTCTTCGCACAATACCACATCCATTGTCCCCCATACTTCTCATCCCTCTTCAGGTAGTTCTCCCCAGGACTCCAAGTGTCCAAACTAAACGTAATCTGTGTGAGCTGCGGGCCTCGTGGTACCGTGTCCGAGAAATCCGTGCCCAGTAGCTTGAGCGACTGAGAAGCGTGGTACCAGATCCAGAGTGGGTTCCAGAGGGGATCACCGAGGGCCTTGGCGTCGAGAGTGAAGGTTTGGACAGATGACATGTGTTTGAGTTGTTCGCGCATGCGGCGGCCGAGGGTCCAGGATGAGGAAGTCATGGAGCGGGGGTCGGTGACGCCGAGCATGGAAGATGTGGTGACGAGTTTGAGAGAGCAGTTCTGAACTTTGGACAGGGTAGTGGGCGAAATCTCCCATACTGGGGTGTAGTTTGTTGGGGAAAATGGAGATGATGATGGAGAGGCGGCAGCTGGCCTGTACGTCTGTGGGGTGACGCTGAGGTGAAAGGTCTTGCGCTTGCAGATCATGTCCATGTATTCTCCATAGACTTGCTTGTTTGCTAGAAGGATGGTTTTACTCTCTTGCCGCGTTCCTGGAGACGTGGATGCAGATGACCAGCGTGCTGGTCTCATCCAATCCAATGTTGAGCGCTGGAGTTCGTTGTGCGCTGGTGGCGGGTATGCAGGATCATCGAGGAAGTGCTCATACACCATATCTCTAAGTTCTTGTGGTAACTCAAGGAATGGGAACGGCTTCTTGCTTTGGTATTGCATCTTACGATACTTGCTAAGAGCGACAAGGGACAGTAGGGGGAGTAAAAGTGCCAGTAGGGTCACCCAGCCTTTGAGTTCCAAGCCAGCAAGAGCATATTCCGAAAGGCCTGCCTGCCATCGTGACAATGCGCTCGCCTTTGTCAACGTGGACGCCATGACGACGCTTGTAGTAACGTGTGGGGTACCGTTTGATCGGGTGTGCAATACGCGCTAGTGGAAACTGTCCAGGGAGAACAGCAGGCCAAGGGCGCTGTCCAACTTCCCTTGCACAACGAAAACACGTCGGCTTACGGGTACTGCGCGATACTGAAACAGTGGCCCTTCCTTCGCATACGAGGATGGCTAATTGCGGGGCGTGTCGATCGGTCAGACGAAGAGTCCGAAGGGTGCCGCGTTGTTCGCTCGTTCGTACAGTGGGATCGTGCGCAAATGCGTGATGCAAGGTCGCGCGATGAATCAATATGAACCGATGTGTGTTGGTGCAAGTGGAAGGTGATGGAGGAATGCGCGAGTGAGGAATATGTAGTTGAGGGTAAGGTAACCAATATTGATGCCTTGCGAATACGACTTGAGGAGGCAACCTGAAACGGATCGCCTTACGCCGCAGCTGCTAACAACCTCTCAACACAGCCACATCGACATCCTCATCTACGGGTGCCACATCATCAGACATCTACCATGTCCGCCGCACGCACGATGCATGTCCGTCTCAAATTATGAATTGCTGGTAGGGATGGAGATCACATACATGTCAGCACAACCCAGGCCGAGCTCTTGTACGAATGAGCTAATCCCCTTAGATTCGTCTGATGCCTAGTAAGATGCACTCCAAAGGCACATCATATTCGACATGATGGAACGCTGCAATTCGGAGTCCCAGTGACTGGTTCTAGATTGTCTTCCAATATTCATCTCGACCATGACCATATCCAGCGCAGGGCCGTATTTTTGTTCTATCTACCCTAGGCGAATTACAACTTCCGCGTTCTCGCCAACAACCATAGGAGAAGACACAGCTGATGCAGATCGTTGGGACGGAATAAGATGAAGAGATAGTCGAGTTGATTGGAGAGTGGAACTATGGCCAAAACGCGTCTACATGCAGGGTGAGGTGGCTAGCACCAGTACCAAGCACAAAATCTTAGCCACACCAGTGAATCCTGAACGAAGTATATACGCGCATCCCAGAAATATCAATCGGTCTAATTTTGGTTTTGATATTTCGGAGTTTCGGGTCGCCCTCTCCCATGTTCAGTCTTTGCAGCCTATCCTTTTGGCTTTGTGACGTCTTTTCAAGACCAACAAATCGCTCTGAATACGCTGCTGCCTACATATTGTGTTAACGAATGTGACTTGTTGACCATCGTATACTGTTGCGGCCACCACGTATCGAGACCATTTCATTACATCAGTCCCGGTAACCACTATCAAGAGAGCCACGTTGTGTTAGATCTACGAAGTAATATGTTCATTTCTTAGACATTACACACTATCGACGTACTAGGCATACCCCTGATTACCATTCGTCTTCGCTGCCACGGCATCATAACAAGCACTAGTATCCAAGCTGACCCCTAACCGCACCAGAGGAGAACTGTGCAGTGTGTGAATCAGTGAAGAAACCCTTGGGGTTTGCTACGATCTGCTTCACGTGGAACCCGTCGGCCTGATCCTTTCCAGTTGCCATGTTGATAACGCCAACTTTGAAGGGTCCCTTCAAGCAGCCAACGGAGGTGCGGCGCTCATCTGGACCAGAGGGGTTCGGGAAGGCCTGGGTGATGGTATATTAGTAGTTGTCTTAACCATTGTGGTGCATGCAAGGAACCCGAAGATAAGGGAGAGAAAGGGGATTGTACTTACGAGCCTCGGTGGGCCAGCTTTGCCCTTGGCAGCCTCGTGGATGTGCGTCGCGGTAAGCGCAGGCGACGCATACTCTCCGGTCACACCGCTCAGAGTGATGTTGTAGCAGATGGTGTTCTCAGCGATGTTGATGCCGTATTTGAAAAGACCCTTGGCACCGGGCTGACCGGGAGCAGGGGCGCCAGTGGTCGCGATGACCTGGTCCGGAGTCGCCTTAACGACATACTCTGCGTCGAAGTAAAAGAGCTTCTCGTTCTTCTTCCAGCTGTTGTCGTGTGAGTTCCATTTCGTGTCCCAATCCTTCTTGCAGTCGCTCTTGTAGTCGCTCTTGCTACCTGAGGGAGCGGCAAAAGCAAGGGGGGTCGAGATGAGAGCGAGAAGGGCGGGAGTGGTGAAATGCATTGTGGATGGTGTTTGAATTTGAAGGGTTGTATGGTAGCTTTGCAGGTTTTGGATGTAGTGGAGGAGATGTGAGTTGCTGATGGAGAACACTTGAGGCCATTTCGTGCTGTGCTTTATACGTTTACGGCTCTCCACTTCTCACTCAAAGCACAGCTTCATTTCCCCTTTGACATGGTCCGATGACATCGGTGGACGGCACAAAGTGCCCCTCACTCGGTGGTACACTCTTGGAGATGCATGCTGGTGTCTTGGTGAAGTCCTGACGGTAGGTTTTGCCAAGCCAGCAGCATGTATTTGAGATAATCTCCGCCATGGCCGAGCTCGAAAAGGATACGGAAAGCGTGACCAACAGTGTAGGTAGTGGTCTTGGTATTTTCGATTTGCTGACAACATGCCTAGACGAAAACGGTGAGGCCTGATGTGGAAGCAATCCGCTATGTGATTCCGACCAACAAGAGTGGAGGCGCATCGAAATCTAGTGTGCACGTCCAATGATCGCAACGCTCAATCGTGCCGTAAAATCCACCGTCCACTGTCTTGGTAACGGAGTTTTCCATACTTTTGTAAGGCGAGCTTGCATCGATCAAGCCTGTGATCGCCCCCAAGATATCGCCTAGCTATCTTGGTGCGGGTAGAGCAAGATCCGTAGTCCTACCCCAGCTCTCAATCAGGCTTAATCTTTCACCAAGACTTCCTTTTCAAGCCATGATCCACATATCCGCGTGGCTGTGCACGACACAAAGGGACGCCGTGCCCAAGGCGCCATCATATACCGGTCTCGATGCGGGCCTAACCTAACTTGTCAGGCGCTATCGGTACCTCAAAACGTCGAAATAGATCGCGGGGTCTCGATTGATGTTCGCGTTACTGCCCGCAGCGGAAAAGTTTAGTGAACTTTCTTGGGTATTCTTGGCTGCAGTGATGTGGGAATCCTGGAGGAACGCCGCTCATCTCCTGATCTGCTCAGGGTCATGCATCTGAGTCTGCTTACAATCGAAGTTCACGACGCTATTGAATGCGCTTCGTGACCCGTTAGACTTTGATGTGATGTTGGGGATGGAGAAGGCCCGTTGGCTTGAAACAGATGGAATGACATCACCAGTCGGGCACCTGCCAAGATCCCAGAACAGCGGCTTCTTCTCCGCCTTTTTCACCCTTCACCCTTCTTTCCGCGCGCTACCGAGTTGTTAACCCGGGGTTCGGAAGACTAGCGACAAGACTGCCCAGGCTGTTTATCATTTCAGTGCTTGCGCTGCTGAAAGTCAAAACACTTCGGCGAACAGATTCTGCGTATGTGTGTCGGTTATGCGGTACACTTCAGGCTTGGGAGCCTTTTTTGTTTGCGATGTTTTCTCGTTTTAGAGTGTCTTTTCGTCACGCATGATGTGGATTGCGGAAGCTCAGGCTTAGGGATGCTGGGCGAATAAGCCGAGTCATCCGGCCAAGCATCAAGCAATTCCTCAATCATGAAAAACCCTTGGAATATAATGCGATTCTGCTACGTGGACAATTTTTTTCTGTGGATTCTTTGCCCCTTCTACAACACTTCCAAATCCGCGTGACTGACGAACCATGTCCCGTTGTTAGTATCAATTGTCAGATTGGTCTGCACAGTCTTTCCCCCCTTCAAGCTTCCACTCTCCACAACACCACCCGCAACAGGTCTCTGTAACCTGTTCTCGCCACTTTTGACCGTGAAGTTCGCAATAGGAATCTCCCAGCCATTCCTCGTTACGACAGTTGGCATACCGAAGAAATTCGCTGTGAGTTCTTCGTGGGAGAAATGCAACTCGAAGTAACCACGGTAGTATAGATCCTGCCACTGAAGTTCAGCGTTGGCAGACTGGATGATAGAAGAGTAGTTGTTGGCGGTTGCGAGAGTAATGTTGGCGCCGTAAGGGCAAGGAGACGTGACGGCTGAGCCAGCGAATTCGACACCAATACTACCTGCGCCGGTCGCAGAGCTGTAGTTCTTTTCGTCGAGCCAGACGAGGTCGCTGACCCAGGATGCGTGGCTGTCGCCGGCAAGAAAGATGTTGTTGTTGATGTTGTTGCTGTACAAGTGGTTGAGAGTACGGTTCTTATTTGCTTGGTACCCATCCCATGCATCGTAGTTCAGGGGGTTTTCTTCTCCATACGCAGCGGATTGATTGACGCGCGAGAAGACAATCTGAGAGCCTACCATACGCCATGTTGCGCCGCGTTCGGCAGACTCAGAAAGACTGCGGTAAAACCAGTTTTCTTGACGAGAACCCATTAAGGAACGGCCCGCATCGTTAGAGATGTCGTGCACGTAGTCTGTGTTCCAGTAAAGATCAGTGATGGAACGGTCGTATTGACGGGTGTCAAGCATCATGAGATCGACAAGTTTGCCAATGGAGACTAAATATGGGTGTACGAAGTCAGTGCATGTCTCACATCCAGTTCGTACAGGGACACTTACAAGAACGCCAGATGCGGAGATTGTCGTCCATGTCGACTTGGCGAATTGGCATCCATTCATAGTAGGCTCGAACCGCATTCATCTTGCGCTGGTCAACAGATACACCGCCGTCGCGGAGGAAGGAGTCTTCGGTATTGTTGAGTTCAGACATGCCGTCGCGGTAAGTATTATCAGCAACCTCGTGATCGTCCCAAACAGGAATCCACGGAAACTGCTCGTGGCTAGCGAGCAGGTCAAGATCAGTTCGGTATGTAGCGAGCCTCCTTCGATAGTCGTAAAGAGTGAAGATCTCGTGGTCTGGCTGGGGAATACGGTCGATCGAGTTGCCCCACCCGTAATCTCCATTCTTGTACTCATAGATGTAGTCACCAAGATGGATAACGTAATCGACAGAGTCCTAGTCCTGAACTCAGCTCAACGTATGTAGCATCATTGCCATTTTGACTTACCTTGCGGGCAACATTTCCATAAGCGTTGAAGAAACCAAATGGATAGTTTGCGCAACTGTACACCGCAAGACTGACATCGGTGATATCGTCGTCGGCATTTGGTGTAGTCTTCGTGCGTCCAAGAGGACTCTTGTTCTCCGAACCACAGACATTGAACTGGTAGTAGTACGTGCTGTACGCCTTCAAGTTCTTGGCTTCGACCTTGACGGTAAAATCTACGTCAGAGCTGGTGAAGACCTTTCCGGAGTCGACAACCGTGGAACCGTTCTTGTTGTCGTAGACCTTGTACTCGACGCACACCGGTGCTTTGGAGATTTTGACGTACTTCTCATTGTCATGGTCGAATAGAGGCGCGTACCCTGTGACCGTAAGGTTGGATTGCGAGTTATCGCTTTGAGGAGCGACACGGGTCCAGAGGATGACGCTGTTAGGGTATGGGTCACCTGAGGCGACACCATGGGTAAAGCTCAGGCTAGAGGCGGCATAGCTGCTTGCTGGGTCGTTCCTTTTGACCACCTTGTGAATGGAAACACCAAGAGCTGGGTCTGAATGCGGGTATAGGGAGTCAGTATATGTCCCACGCGCACTTCATACAGGGACATTACTAACGGTGTTCTGAAGGCGAACGGTAGTTGAGGTTCTTCGACCAGCTAGCGCTAGCAATTGATGCCAATGGCAGCAAAGAAAGATACTGAAGCTTCATATTGACAAACAGCTGCTAAGTAGAGCGCCGATCGAACTTGCAAGCCCAAATTTACCGGCTCTCTGGGCCTTTTTGTAGCTTCAAGAAAGTTGAGCCATTTTCGAGCTATCCGACTCGAAGTAAGCCATGCCCATGTATTCGCATGTTTTTACTGCGTCATGCCTGCAGGAACTTCTGTTCCTGAGTAGCGGCATCCCAATCACAGCTCGTGGAGCCAGCATGCTGCCATGCTTGTAGGGTAGGCACGGGATGGTGGGATTCGCGGTAGCGGGGCGAACATCGCAATGTAGGAAAGTTGAGGACGCAACCCAGTAGTCATTCGTCATCAGCAGAATTGCAGCTTTTCTGATTTGCTGTAGCAGCTGGGCTACAGTAGAGATGCAGCACGGCGCCGGTGCACATGCGTGAGTGCTCTGTGCCTATTGGTCAATATGGGCCGCAGTGGATAAGCTTGCCCTGTAGTAAGAAAAGCTTCCCAATACTTCGCGGGTCGACTTGGATAGATTGAGAAGGTACATTTGTAGATCGAAAACGGTAAATAACAGTGTCTACCGAGGTATGATCAAGATAAGTCATGGTTGAGAGCGGAAGCGAAAGTGGCGTCGAAAGGTCGGAGTACACAGCTCCGCATGTTATCTTACGCGACAGGCTGTCAAACCGCTCCGAAGCAACACCGCGAACACTTCCAGAACACTTCCACCTCGTGCAAACAACCTTTACACGAACAGCTTGTATACCCAAAACCCCACGTACACAATTATCGCAAGTACCGGTCGACACCACACAGGCACTTGATCTCCCGCTTGCCACAGAACCCATGTTTCAATACTTGTCCGCGGAGCACCGGGCGTGAACAGCATAGCATTTTTCGCTCCCTCGGTGCGTCGCTGGGCCGCATGTGCATGCTTGAACATTTCCGTCTCATATTTCTCGACGTACTGGCCAAGAGCATTCACCTGGTCGACTCCTTCACTGGACGAAGTTGACGAGCTGTATGCTACGATATGCTTGGTGAGAACCATAGCATCGTTGAAAGCCGTGTTAACACCGATGCCTGCAAATGGAGTCATGACATGCGCTGCGTCGCCTAAGAGCGTGACGCCTGGCCTGTGCGGCCAGGTGAATCCTACGGGAAGTTGGTAGAGATTCCTCCACACGATTCCCGTTGTCGCTTTTTCGATGGCGTCCAGAAGCTCCGGTCGCCAGTCGTGCAATGACTTCCTCAATACTGTTTTCGCTGACTCGATGTCGCTCTGGGCATCGAAACCGCATGTTTGAGTGAAGTCTTCTGGATGCTGGCCGTAGTAGGATACGTAGATTGACTCATCGGAGAGCTGCTGTATAGCTAGAGTCTTGCCGTCCGAGTATGCGAACACGCTGCCTCTGTTGACAAGTTTGTACACTTCTGGTGCTGTGTGCTCGGCATTGGCGATGAACATTGTCCAACCACCTAGACCGGAGTAATGAGGCTTCTCCGACGTCAATAGATTGCGAGTCTTGCTGAATGCGCCGTCACAACCCACGATCAGGTCGAAACCATCCAACACATCTCCGTTCGCAAATATTAACCTTAGTCCCGTGCTGCACTCTTCAACACGCGACAGCTTGTATCCCCAACGAACTGTGTTAGGAGGTAGGCTCTCCATCAGCATTTTCCTCAGATCCGTACGATCAATCTCCGGTGCATCACCTGAACCTCCTTTTACATCTTCCGTCTTCCGGCCACCTCTTCTCAACCACGTTGTAAGATGTTTATCGGTGACCAGCAAACTCTCGCCATCGTAACGGGCGTACTTCTGGAACTCGTCCCACAGGCCTGCCATCCTAATTGCAGCGAGGCCTGTATCGGCGCGCAAGTCCAAGGTACCACCTTGCGAACGGTAATTGATCGAGCTTTCGGCTTCGAAGATGATGGTCCTGCAGTCGCACTGGGTGAGTAGCAGCCGTGCGAGTATGCAGCCGCCGGGACCTGCACCGATAATCGCTATCTTAGGTGCCATCTCCTTGCCGCCTCGTTATGTGGGTCAGTGTTGTTTCAGTCAGTAAGGCCGATGATTAGGGTCGAAATACATTGTTCATACCCACCTGCTGCTTGGCTTAAGAGCTTAGTTAAGGCTTGTTGAAGCTTATCCGTCAGGCCTCCAATGATGCAGCTGAAATGTGCCTAGGATCGGGCAATACGAACTGCGGTTGCCTTGTGTAACATGGAGCAGGAACGTCGGCCCTTCGGAGCGAGGCGGAAGAGCGAACCACGACTTCAATCGAGCGAGTTTCACAATCGCGATAGCATGAGGAGCTGAAGCCCAAATATGCATTGCAGTAAATATATGCAGCATTGAATGTATGTGCAGAATAAAGGAGGAAAGATATGTACAAAGAAGTAGTCCCTCCACAACTACTTGATTTTCAGTCACGCTCAGAGATGACAACGCATTTAGCTCTGGCTCAGGCTGTACTCAGTAACAGTGAGCTTCGCCTTGTTACCAGAGAAAGGCTCAGTTCCAGCACCGACACTAGTCAAGATCTGGCTGCTAGGCAGACCATGCTTGCTCGTGATTTCCTTAACGAATGTCATCAAGTCGCCATTAAAGTTGTTGACCTGCTTCTCTGCAACGAAGCTGAAGACGTTCATCTGTCCGTTCTTTCCGTTGTACAATTTCCAGGTGTTGCCAGCAAGGTTGACGGTAGCAATGGGGCTTCCCGTAGCGGAAATGGGACCAGCACCACCAAGGGCACCAACCCAGATCATGATCTCGTACTCTGGGGAGCCGTCGACCTTTGAAGAGGTGAAGAGGTCGTAGGAGACGTTTGCGACAAGGTCATCGCCTGCGTAGGTCCACTTCCAGACGGAGGGGAGAGACTTGATGGAAGAGACTGCCTTCTGGGTGATCTTGGTGACGACGTTGGCGTAGGACTTGACGTGTCCAGGACTAGAAGCGGATTTTGTCAGTGTTGGAATTAATAGCAGAGTGAGAAAAGGACATACCCGCCAGTCCAGGACCACGATGTGTGCCACTTGAGGGACCTGCCGCTGAGGCCGTCAACGCCGGTGCATTGAGAACCAGAGGTGGCATCGGCTTGGCCCCAAAGGTTGTTGTAAACGGTGTAGTCACCGGTTACGGTGCTGTCCCATTGTCCGCAGTAGTCCGCACGCTTCTGGATGGTAGCGGTAGGTACAGCGAGGGCAAGCGATGCCGTGCTGGCGATAAGGAGTGCGCTGAACTTCATATTGAAATGTGGTAGAAGAAGTAAGATGTAAGGAGTGTAGTGGTCGATATGGATGTTAGATTCAAAGTTGGATATTTAGGTAGGCTTCGATCATGCTTAAGTACAACGCCAAACATACATACGAGCCAAGGAGATAAAAAGAGGAGAACGTGCCCACGGAGTATCTGTAATGGTAGTCTACCTCCGTTGTTTCGAAGGTATGTACATGTCAAGCGACTATTCCGAAAGGAGCCGTTACTCCTCTCCAGGGTGTCCCATGGTCAGGCCGCGTACTTGTCGATCACCCGAGTAAGGTGTGAGGGCTACCTGGAAGATTGGTGGATTTGACAGCATACTAGCGATAATATAACCGGCGGAAGAACCCCAGAAACCGATCAGCTATGAGATCTTCACATATGGCCTTGTTGGTGATGTGCATCGATTCTGCGTTGCGACGGTTATGTTCCGAGGCGATGGATCCCTGCCCGGCAAGTCAGGGTTCTCCACAAGTCATGCCATGCGCCTGAAACATTTCGCCGATGCTTGATGAAGCCAATATAAACGTCGGTGGGACTAAGGAAATGAGGCCACAATAATTTTCCGGCGCTCATGCGTGGGATCTCGACCTGACGTCAGCCGGGCAGTCTCTAGTCGGTACGGACGAAAGACTCCTCTACTACGAGCGATCGAAGGAATTCCATGTCGCCTTCATTGCCGGTATCGCAAAAGGATTTCATTGTGGGCTGCAAGTGTTAGAGACGAGCGAACAAATGTAACTTGGGCTACTCACAGTGCCCATATCACCCTTCCGGTCGACCTTCCAGGTATTGCCCGATTGACGGATTTCCTGTTGTACGTAAAAGGACTCTGGATCTGATGCTTTCCAGAAACCAGTGAGCTTCCTGGTCACCTTCTTCACTGTCTGTTCCGTGTTAGGCATGATCGGTGCGTCCAGCCATGATTGAATATTCTCCCATTTCTTGTCCGGTAAGTCCCATCTGCCGCCGTCAGATGCCTGCATAAGCACATCTACACTGAGTTCTTCGACATGGGGGAAGTGCTGAAGCATTCGACTAATGGCAACCGAGGCAGCGTTAGGCTTCGCTGCCTCACCAGGGTTGATTCGAGCATTTCCACGCTTGTCGATGAAGACGGGTGGGCCACCGTTCCACCAGTCGTAACCGGGCCACAGGGTCAATCTCAGCTTCTTGTTCCTCTCCATTATTGGGAGTAGTGCCAAAAACCGAGGCGAAACTTCGTCGCGTGTCGGAATATAGTAACCATGAGCCCCACGTAGTTGTCTCTGAATCTCCAGCGTGATTCGCGGGGTGCCATCATCGCAGGCACGCTCTGCTTCCTCAGCAAATTCGGTCCCTAATCGTTCAGCTAGGATGTTGCTGAGGGGTCGATTCTCGGGGGTTGAGAGTGCTACAGATATTGTTGGATCAAGACGGTGTTCCAGGCACTCTTCTCGCAGCTGCCGACAAGTGGCCAAGATGTTCGCAGGCGGACGAGAAGGCAGATAGATACGCGTATCGAGGTAAGTGTCAATGGCGCTTTGGCGTGATTTGTACAGATTCTGTGTATCCTTGGTCGAGGTTGATGTGTAAACGTATTGGGGTAGAATAAGGTAGCCAAGGATCTCGTCACGCAACTCGCGCGGAAGAGCCAGAAATGGTGAGTGAGGAGTGACAGACATTGTTGTTTCAACGGACCGTGATCATGTGCTTGGGATTTTGTTACAACGTTGAGTGTTGGGGCTCTGAGGTACGTATATCTAGCGGTGGCAGATTGTTTATGTTGCAGCCTTGCGGAGCGGATTTCCGCGGTCCGCACATGGTCTGTGAGGCTGTCGAAGGACGCCTGATCTTTCGACACATTCCAGAACATTACTTTCGGATGAGCATTCTTAGGCACGGCTGCTTCGCAGTGGGGTCATAGGGCTGTTCCGCGAACAAATATCGCGGTGTGCGCTCCAGTCCATGCTCACAGAGATGCACAGTGAAAGTAAGATATGACCTTGATCGTCGCGGAAACTTGATGTCATGCTGAAATTACTACCGGCAGTATGGGTACTGGAGATGCAATTGCTAAGACGATGTCGGTGTTAGGGGGGCGTTTTCACATGCGGCTGGGGCGCAGATGCGGAGATCTGGGGATGGTTCGCAGAGTGGGATGACATCGTGCAGGGTCTAAGCGGGGCGTGTTTGCTTTGCGGCTCCAGCGCAAACAACCTGGCGGGTTCGAGCTTGTGATTGAGGCATGCCAAACCTCACCGCCTACCACAGACATGCGTGCTGATCTCTGTGCCTTCTCTCCCTGATATTCATTCAAACATCCACGCCGATACATGACAGCGTCACGTCACATTTTGATGGGTGTTGCGTTGTGTTGCCGCTGTTCCGCGTACTCTCCAGCGCCCATCTGAACTGATGCGATATCCTGTATCAACCAAGGCTCGACAGAACAGATCGCAACATTATGGCAAACAATGGCAGAGCGCGCAAGGTTTCCGAACAAAGGGAACCGTCGAGAAGACAGTTGCGCTCCACAAACGGAGTGCGTCCTCTGCCTGAAGCAAACGCGTCAAGTCAGGTACGTCAAACTTCACCTGCAGCCGCCGCTATCACACGTCCCCTTGCTCCTGTCTGAATGCTCACATGCAATAGCCTGCATCCATCTTTGCTAGTCCCACGCCCTCTCCACGTCCAGCAGCCGCGACTACCTCATCGAACCCTTTCCAGCCTACCACTCATTCCTTCTTTGCACCCGAAGAGGCGACATCTTCAACCCCGTTGACACCTTCCCGACCCTTGTCCCCACGCGACCGCATACACAGAGAGAACTTTCGGCGTGGACCGGGGGCGACCGATAGAAACTCGCCCTGGGCTTCTACATCACAGACTGCTACAGCCCAAACACAAGACGGCCAAGATTCAAATTCAGCCGATTCGTACGAACGAGATCTTGCTTTCGCGTTACAGTACAATTGGTTCGGTGAAGACGATTCGGACTCGTTGGGAGAGGAGGATTTTGACCATCCTGCAACTGTTCCCCGTCTTCACTCGTCGCGCAATCACCCTGAAGACCACGACTTCGAAAACGCGCGAACCACCTCATCAGGCATGCACTTTGTCAGGAGAAGACCTCGAACAGATCTACCTGCGCCCTACCACGTGTATCGCGGCCTTACGGAACTCAATGCTCGGAAGCGATCACTCGACAAATACGAGGGTGTCGACGAGATGGATGTTACACACTCCTTGCAATGCAAGGGTGCCACTGCCGTCATGCTGTACAACAGTGTCAGCCCAAATCCCAACGCGAACGACATCTGGCCCGAATGCCGCAGCTCAGCAAAACTACCCGCCAAATATTTCTTACTAGACCAGAATAGACAACCTCAGAATAAACAACCTGCATCCGACTTGAAATCAAAGCCTCGTTCATCCAAAAAGAGTGGTAAGAAAGCAGCAAAGGCAGCAAAGGCTCAGCCAGATAAAGGGTCGCAGGACCTTCTTCCTGATGCCCCAATTTATCGCCCCGAATGGAAACTGCCTGTGGAACTAGTGGAGCTCATCGCGGAGCACCTTGACCGTGACGACATCAAAGCACTGCGGCTTGTAAGCCGCGAGCTGAACCGATATGTCTCGCAGGTCATCTTCCAGACAGTCGTCGTTCCCTTCAACACCGAGATATACGGTATGCTGGGACAAGAAACAAAGCCTGACCTCAAGGGCAAAAAGCGAGCAAGAATAGATAAGCCTAGCTATTCGTGGAAAAATGCAAACGGAGACGAAGTGTATAATGGCCATGGCCTTGATGTTTTCCGCGGCTTTGGTGGACACATCAGGAAGTTTGGTATGAGTTTCGAAGTCAGTGAGGACTCACTCTCCATGCCGCCCGTCAAGTCACTCACAGAGAGAAAGACGAGCTTTTGGGGAAGTTACGATTGGCCTTACGAACAATATCGCCGCTTTGCTGCTGTCGCCGGCCTTGAGACTGCCGCTGACGAAACACCACGAATGAAGACAGCATTCTCCGAGCTCACCAAAGTCAAAGAACTAGCATTGTCCCTTGACAGTGGCCTGGGGTGGCTAAACGGCCCGGACAGATCCATTCGGGCACGTGTGTTGCATAGACCTCCCCAAGTCTTTGGCACAACCAAAGCTGTTCCAGATCGCAGAGCGCAAGCTCAGCAGGAACTTTGGAAACACATTGAAGCATGTCATCAGAACGATGCCAGCGAAGTCAAGCTGGCTATGTTGTACAGGATTGACGGACAACCCGCTCTTTCCAAGCTGAAAGAAGCCAACAAGCTAGCAGACGTGCAACCGCAAATGCCCTATCTGGATCCTCAGCTTTTACGCGCAGCAGTTCCTTTTGATGCTGCTAACATCCCTGTTCCCCCTAGCTTTGATGACCCATATGTCCTGGACCAGTTTGTGTCAACACCGTCACCTTCAGGCACAGGCATTCTATTTTCGTCGACCAAATTGCCATCGGAAGGGGCGCAGCTTGTGAACCCTGTCATACCTGCCAACCTTACCACAGCACAGAGGGAATGGTTGTTAGAGACTGAGTGGGCACAGCGGGCCTTCATGTCCTCGTATTTGCTCTCTGTCATCGACAATCCGATTACATTCCAGCCAGTACACACTTTCAACGTTTCAGGACTCTCTGATCGTTATCTGCCAATGCTAAATCGTCCGGACTTCTGGGACGCACTGCCCAATCTTCGTAATGTCACTCTCATGCTAATACCAGGCTGGCGAACAGTGGAGAAAGACGAGGCTGGCTTCGTGGACACGCCAAAGACCAATCCAACCCAAAGCATCGGTGTGCTTTTCGACCTTCTACATGATCATATTAGTTGTCGGTCGAATATTCGTCATTTGAAAGTCGGTTTCGTCACTGGAGGTGAGCATGCCGAAGGACTTCACGCAAGGAATAAGTTGTTGTTCCCTGCTCCCGTTGTGGATCTGCGAGTTCGTGCACAACCTTCTTCTTTCCACCCTACAGGGCTGGTTTCAACCGACGCCGCTTGCTTGGAAGAATGTTTGCTACGACTCCCTCATGTCGAGCAGCTAGTCTTGCACAACTGTTGGATTACACCATCAGCTTTGTTGCAATTCGTTAAGTTACATGATCGCCATAAGCTGCAAAATTTGGTACTGGATTCCGTATCACTTACGGCTGTGTTGCGCCCACCGAATGTCAACCCAAACAATGTAGCTCATCAGGCAGCAGCACTTCAGAACATAATGCCGCCACCTGGAGTGGGCGCATTGTTGGGTGCTGTTGGTGCTCATGGTCCGCAATTGATGCCAAATCAACCGCAGTTCTTACATGCTTATTTCCAGATGCTCCAGATGCAACTTCAGCATCTACAGGCCAACGCAGCTGGCATCCAACACAACAACAACATTGCTGCTTTACAAAATCAATTGCAGCAGCAAATTGGACAGATCCAAAACAATCAAGGACATCAGCATCACCATCAAGGTCAGGTTCAAGGTCAGGCTCAGGCCCCGACACAACCGCAGGTACAACACCAACATCCTGGGACATTTGCTCAGCACTTTGCGAATGTTGCCCAGTTGGCTACTCAGATCCATCAATTACAGACTCAGATTGCTACAGGCCAGGCTCAGCCTCCACCTGTTGCCGCGCCAGCGAGCGGACACACTGCTGGGAATCCACAGTCGATACTCAAGGCACAGCCCCGTGAAGGCTCTTGGATGGACATTATTGATCAGATCTCACCCGGCACTAATCTCTCTGACTTTGAGTCAGATCATTCCAAAGCCGACAGCGATCGTATCACCTCACTGCGATCGATCGAGTTTGTTTCTTGTGGCTATGCAAAGCTTACTCACGCGTCGTTTGATCAACCTGACATCGATCCTCGTAATATTGCAGCCATGTTGCGCAACCCAGCATTCAACAAGCGAGCAATCGCTCTGTCTCCCGCTATGCTAAGTAACAAGTGGGCTTATTTGGGAGAGATTGTGCAGGAGATTGAGCCTTCCGAGCTTGCTGCGCTCAATGCGGGTTGGAATTTGAGTACCGGCTGGGATGATACTGAAGCTGCGCAGGCTGTCGAGTTCGACGGTCTTCTCGCTGGTGGTACAGGGCGTTTCACAGGCATCATACGGCAATCGGATAGAGTTGTCGATGAGGCTTCTACGAGTTAGTGGAATGCGCTTGGACACTCTGATCTTGTTGCATGTATGCTGACAAGTGCTCTAGGTCTCTGCGCGCTTTACTCACGGTTTCAAAGGATTGAACTGTGATGAAACGTTAGCATGAGTGCTTATGAGCTGTAATACTACGATGCTTGTATAGAGTATGGAGTTCAATGTTGGTGGTCTAAGCCATTTTCCTAGAAATGTGTACACTGACGGTTGGAGTTCTGTAGTTGTGGGTCACCTGTGTTATGGGAGACGGTCCTAGTCAGACCGAAGGTTTTCTAAGGCGACCAAATCCAACCATGTACAAGATATGAAAGATGCATGTAATAGATAATCGGAAGAATCCAATACTGCGATGCTTCCCACAGGACGTTCAATCTGGTATGGTGACATCAGCCTACTAGAGGGTGCATGTCTTACGCCCTGGTTTCGTGTTGTGCTTCTACCAGCAGATAATGTAGCGAGTGTCTTAACGGTGCAGTATATATTCAGGGACATTGCAGGACATACTCTCTTTCTCTATTCAGGCCATATATATCTCTCTAAAAAGAAGAAGTCATGTCTATTCGCATCCCCTATATCTTTAACTCTCAACCAATCATCTCCACTCATCACATACCCTCTACTCAAAACCGGCCGGCTCGACCACTGCGGGGAAAGCCGGCTCACCAAGCCGACTCGTACAAGCTGCCTTCCAGTTCTTTGGTGTATACTTATCCACGATAGCTTTAAATGCGTCCAGCGTGCAGAAAGTAGTATCGCCCTCTAAATGCTTACCGGGAGCTTTGCAGCCAGGTATCTGCATAATCTTGTCATTGTAGCGGAGGCGGACGTAGTAGTCGTTTAGCTGATCGCGTTGGGCGGGTGTGAGATCGGTGATGGGTTTACGTGCTATGCCTTCTGGTGCGAGACCGGAGTCGGATGAGATTTTTGTGCTGCCGAAGAGGGAGGACCACCAGCTTTGACTCTTGGTGGCAGTGTTCTGTTCCGTAGGAGTAGGTGCTTGCTCAATGCCAGCAGGGTTTCGCTTTCTGAACATTTCAACGGCGATGTGGGATGTGAATGGGGGCCACTTTTCGCCGTCAAAAGCGCCGAGAGATGTTAGGACACCGGCTAGTGTCGTATCGTGGCATCCGGACATCTAAACGTGGGTGTGTGAGATTAGGGCATATCTCACATGTAGTTGGTACAAGGACACTTACAGCAAAGCGGATGTTGGTTTCGCCGCCTCGACCCTTGCCTAACTTGCCGTCTACGCCTCCAACTTCTACAATGCCAGAGTTGCCATTGCGTTCGACGCTGCCGACCATTCGCGAGGTGATATCACCCATCAAGCCACCAATGCCGAGCATTCGGTACTCGGAGGACTCATTGTAGCCTTGGTACCACTCTTCAACCGCAATCTTATCAATGATTGAGCGAGCCTTGGGGTCATAGAACTCTTTTGGTAGCTTGGTTTCGGGCCCATGTGCATCTGTAGCATTGAGGGTGTCCATTATACCTGAGAGTCGAGGGTGAGAGTCCACGGCTACCTTTTGCTGCTCAGGCATCCACTTGGAGAGGACCTTGGTGAGGTAACGCATGTCATTTGTGTCGTTCCAACGCTCAGCAGCGCGTTGCGCGAATGCTCGACTTAGTTGAGCAAAGCGCCTACAGCTAGCATCATTGGGAAAGAGTGTCTCATCAGCTGGAGTTCTTTGAATGATGGTTGGTGGAGGGAAGTCAGCAGTTCGTGCTGATGGTGGATAGAAGCCCCAGAAGGCTTGTTGAACAGACTCCAGGGCACGTGGAATAGGTGTCGCGCGCAGGTAGATCATATCGCTATCTGAGATGAGCTGAGGCATGAACTTTAGTTGATTGACATAGAGATGGCGGAGGCGCTCTCCTAGGGCTAGAGTTGTCTCACGGCCCTTATCAGTAAGTTCACCGGGCTGGCATATGGCATCAAACTCGCCCTGAGGGCCCGATGCGATAACAGGGCCATCATCCATGCCAAAGGTTTCGAGGCGGCGTCGGTATTTGAGCTGATCCCATTTCGAAAAGTCCTTGGTATTCAGGATTATACTAGTGAGTTGTCGGGCGGAATTGCAGTATGGCCAGTAGGGTGGCAATCCAGTCTAATGTTGGTGTCAACAACCGCATTGCCAATTCGTGATGCAGACGCCTACATTCTGAAAGCGAGGTGATACAGGACTTCTTTCGCCTAGATGTATACGTTAGTATCCAGGCTTATGGATGTGTCGGTAAGATGCGGAGGAACCTCACCATGGCGAAGTAGCTAGTGTTTCAGTCAGCGGTAGCACAAGGGGATGCTACATTATTGGTGCTTACGATTTGTACGAGCTGTAGTTCAAGCTCTTTTGGATAAAGCTTATCGAGCTCTTCCTGCGAATAGAACTGCCGCGGTATCAGGGTAGTCATCGCGCGCTCTATCAATAGATCTGGACGTAAGAATTGAGAGAAGAGGGTATGCTTGGATTCTCTTCTGCACTAGAGATGATGCACAACGAGGTAGAATCGGAACAGAGACGTTTCTCGAGAAGCCCTCAGTCACGTGCGGCGTGCGGACGTCATGGCGTCTCATTGGTCGGAGGTATTCCGCGTAGTATCGCGACACTTGCACGCGATTTGGAACAGCACCCATCCCCGCGTAGGTCAGGCTACAGAGAGCGTTCTATCGAGTGTACCGGACCTCTCCTTCTTCTGGACTGACAAACTTGCGCTGATGAGAGCTTGATTTGTTTTTGCAGGTGTACAGAGGCTTGCGACAAAAAGTTTCTACTGTACGAGCTAACCGTCGTCCCCAGCGTTCGTACCTCCAACACTCGCAGGCTTGTTACAGCACTATGCTAGGCGCATACGTGTGTCGGCAGTGTCGAACACGTCTATCTCGACGCATCGCCCCCACCCGAAGCCCTCAATGGCAACCTAGAGCCACGATCGTTTCGCTGGCCGGCCACAAACCAAACGACAATGCCGAACCATTGCGACAAGAAGCATCGGCCCCAGCGAAGGAAGAGGAAGAGTCTGCACAAGAGGCGAATCGCAATGGACCTGATATAAACCTCTCAAATCCACGAATCCGCCAGCCCCTCTCCCGATACTCCAAACTCATATACGACGATACAGAAAACACCCCGACATACACTGGTAGCCAAGGGGAACGTGCATCTGGTGAGGCAGGCCAGAAGAGGTTGTCACAAGTGGAGCGGGCTCATGCTGATCCCGTGCTCGATGCCCTTTACAAACGGAATATCAATCGAGCCTGGCAGTTGTTTGAGAGCATTTACACCGCAAAAGACTGCAAGGCTCTGGCCGAGCCAACAGATCGTGATTTGCAGTTGCTGAGTGAGGACAAGATATTTGCGCGCCTCCTCAGAGCCGTCACACGTGCCTTTTGTGAGGGCAGAACCAACTCGGTGACCCCAACCAAGGTCCTCTTTAAATACCAACAACTTGGCATTGCTCGCCCTGATTATTGGGTGAGGCCGACAATAGCTCACTTGACGCTTGAAATCATAGCGGCTGTGAATTCACCTTCTGGGGCGAAACGAGACCTTCATGCACTGCTCCAAGAGCTGTTGTCCGTATGGCGGCTTTTCTTCCAATGCGTGGGACCAAAGAATGGTTCAATGGAGTCGATTAGTACCGAATGGAACATACCAGGCACCGAGGCAATCCCGGAGATGCTTGACGAAAAGCAGTTTAATATGCGCTTACAAGGGTACATACCTAACTATGTCGCGAGTCCTGCCTTGGCCTTTTGCGCCGTCTACTTCTACAACATCTCGGACGCGTTAGACCCGGCGACACACAAGCAAGCCGCACCTTTTCTGGCTTTTCTTACACGACTACTCGCCGGCTCGTTTGTAGACTCGATTTTCATATTTACACATAGCCCGGATTTCAAAAAATTGCCGGAAGATGTACAGGACCAAGTCATTCGAGAGATTAATGCTGTGCCCGGGAAAGCCATGGTGGCTATCGGAAAAAGTGGTGAGACTCTTGGAGCAGATAACACCGGTGATGCGTACTCCAACTTAGAAGCATTCTTCATGAAGACGATAGCGCGTGCAGTCGAGACCAAAACTTCAGCGACTGCACTGGACGGTATTTGGAAAGAAGTTGAGGAACAATATACCACGGAGAACAAGATTGCTGCCATACCTCCGTCCATATACAACGCCTTTCTTTCTGGGTACATGACTGTTTTCCACCCACAACGCTCCGTTGAGATCTGGAACCACATGATTGCCCACAATGTCAAGCCAAACATGCATTCCTGGGTGGCGCTTCTGGAAGGCTGCGCAAAAGCAAAAGACCTCAACGGCTTGAATGCAATGTGGCAGCGCATGTTGAACACTGGTCTTGAGCCCAGTAACTATGCCTGGACGACGCGTATCAATGGCTTGGTGTCTCTGAAGCAGATCAACAAGGCCTTTGTCGCAATGGACGATATGGCCAAGCGCTGGGTTGCAGCAGAGAATGCCATCAACAACGCCCAGGCGACTGCCAAAGGACAAAAAGGTCCGAAAAAGTCATCGTTGAGCAAGGCAGTCAACACATGCACAAAACCCTCTATCGAAGTTGTCAACGGTGCCCTATCTGCCATCGTACAGTTCCGTCCTAGAGACATGAGCCACGAGAAAAAAGTAGAATTCGTTCAGAAACTCCTTACATGGTCGAAGAACTTCCAAATCAAGCCTGACGCCATAACCTACAATTCTCTTATAAAGCTCTACTTAAACGCAGGCGATAGATCCACCGCCTTTAGAATCCTCTCGCAGATGGAAAAGGATGGACTAGAGGGCGACGCGGCAACGCACGCAATGCTTATCAGCGCCGCATTTGACAACCAAACCTTTGACAACCTATCCGAAGCTCAACAAACTTCGCGCATTCTAAAGATGCTTGACGATCTGGAAGCCAGTGGTATCAAAATGAACGACTACATCTACTCTACGGCCATTGATCGTCTGTTGAAGAAATACGCCAATCATGCCGCTGTGCGCGCGGTCCTGGAACATATGGCCAACAGAAAATTGATTCCGAGCGTACATGCTTACACGTCTATCGTCACACACTACTTCCAATCCGAGCCACCTAACATATCTGGCGTTGATGACGTCGTCCTCCGTCTCTTCAGCGCACCCCGTATGCCCAGCGACAGCGTGCTCTTCGACCGGCTTCTCGAGGGGTACGCGAGCTTCGGTGAAGTGGGCAAGATGATGAGTGTACTCGCGCGTATGAGCAAGCGGAAACACTTACCTGGTTGGGGTGCTTTGATAGCTGTTGTCAAGGCGCTAGCAAGAGACGGAGATTTTGATAGGGCGAAGACTATTGTGAGGGATGTTGCTAGGGGGGAGGGTGTGGCAAGGGGCGGTATCCTAGGGGATCGGAAGGGGGAGGCTATGTTCACAAGAGTGGTTCGCGAATTGGGATTTGGCGAGGAGATAATGGGAGACCGCATAGGTGGTGAAGGGAGGGGTGGTGTCGCGGGGCTGGAGGGAAGTATGTTGAAGCGGCAGCTTGAGGCTTCGCAGTACGAGATGGACTCCGAGAGTGCGCAGTACGAACAGCAACAGCAACCATCGCCGGTCATCGAGGATGGTGGCAACAGTACGACTACAGGAACGGGGCGGGAACCCGGTAGCGTGGATGAGGAGGATATCCATGGCTTCTTGACCAACGAGTCCGAAGTTGGACATAGGTAGTGGTGAAAAGCTTGGATGCTCTGTGCATATCCATGTATTATGAAATGCCATCGGTACTTTGTCTTCCAAGAGTTTTGTTTCTTCTATTTTTCTCTAAGGGTTCTACCACCCAGTGTCAGGTCGCCACCTGAAGAACTTGGACCACTGCTGCTTACCATGATATTGATTTGCAAGACCGACTTTTGGTGATTTCCAATGTAATGGGTCGGTCTATAGATGAGCAGCTCCTTACTTGAACGAGGTAGGCAGTGCAACCCATAGAGTTTGACATTCTTTGATAAGATCGCTAGTCTTCTTCACGACTCAGGACAACGATTGAGTTCAGAAATGAGGCTTAACAAAGTCATCCGCGGACGGTAAACAGTAGAGTAGCACCTTACGCGAAACCTACTATCTGTTGCCATCGTAGTACTCACCCAAGTTCCACTTTGAGATTGTCTTCTTTGAAACAGACGTATTGCATTAAGCTCACCAAGACTGAAGATCCGGGGGGATACATGAGGCTTGCTGTTACTTTGACAGGTAGTGCACCGACCTTTGGTTCTGGGTCCGAGCATGACGAGACGCGTGTCGCATCAGAATGGCCTGGTCCGTCTCGAAGACTTGACTTGTTGCGCTCTGCATAGGCCGACTGGTCTTCGGCGTGGAACACCGTGAAACAGACTCTGTTCTGTAGCTCTATGGGTAAGAGTTCAGCCAGATATTGGGTCAGGGTCTGAGAAGGTCTGGCAGCCGGGTCTAGACTAGACCCCTTTCATGGTTTGGGACGGGCCGATAAGCGGTTGCAATTCTCTTTGGTTCTTTATGCGTGCTCGAGCCTCTGTCGAGGACGATGCTGAAGCTGTTGCGGATAGGAGATGGTTTGCCTAATGCTTCGTGCGTGTGCGCGGACCAAGCGGACGGGCGGCATGCGGCTCGCTGGGAATAAGAAACAGACTCAGGCGCAGCGAACTAGAATGCTGCGGCTTGCCAATTAGGACATCAGGAGATTAGAAGCAGTTTGGCTACAAGAGAGGTTCCCTTTGTTGACGCGGCCTCTTGAATGGCACTTGAGAGACGCAGATGAGGCGCCAAAGATAGCACACTGGGAGATGTCGGCAAATCTGATTTCTCATCGTTGCAGGCTGGATGCTTCAGAAGATCAAAAGGCTATGATGGATTGTATAAGGCCGGCCAAGTGGTTTTCTGCCTTGCATAATCTCTGCCAATGCTGTGTCTGACAAAGACTTGTAGGCATGGCCTTGCAATCAAGACCGGTGTAAGCCCGCGTGTAGTATTACCCTCAACGCCTCAGATGGCACTGCTTGCAGTTGTCTCTTGCAACTGTCTAGGCTGGATAATATTTGTCCATGTGCAGGTGCATGTTGGTGACGCGTCTTTTGTACAGCCTTGCTCGAGCGCGAAATTTCTGCTGCTGAAGAAAGATGCGCAGTCTAACTTGGCTTGAAGTTTGCCGATTATCGGTATCGCGTGGACTGACTCTGTACCTGCGATGCGGATCTGATAGGCAGGGTCTGTCTTCATCTTACCATGGGTGGCTAGTTAGACAGGAAGCATGAGCGGTTTTCAGCGGGTTTGATTGGACAACAGGACCCCCGCGCACGTCGAGAAGTGGCAGCTGTGACGTTGTTGACTCAAGACGAGTGTTTCAAGAATTGAAGATATCGTGGCCAGTGGATTCGGGGAAGCAGGTAGTGTTGAGTTGCTCCATGGGACTGGGACGGAGATTGCCGGAACCCAAGTCCGACTCCGCTTGAGGGAGGGGAGAGTGTAGATCAAAATTTACGGCCGGGTAGAATCTTGCGCTGACAGGCTTGACAGGTGTGGGAGAAAGCTGGCGCACGACAGAGATGGATGTGTCGACGGGACTGGCGCCGGCAGGTTGTCCGAGAGACATGCTGACGTAGAATACTAGCAGCAGTTGTACACAATAGGGTAGCCACACTGGCGGACGGTGGTACGGAGGGTGAGCCACAACTGCGCCAGGTAAGTGCATACGAGGCCTCTGGTAAGAAGCTGAAGATTAGAGATGCATCGAGACTCTGCGTCGTTTGCACCTGCTTTGCTAGTCGGTATGCAGCCAGAATGGGCGCCCAAGCCACCAAGCCGGTGGGTTGTGGCTCGAGGGCTAAACGGCCTGGCAGTTATTCGCGCAGGATAAGTGTGAATGGACGGAAAGGAGCCGGGGGTCGCAAGATTGGCTAGAGAAAGTCAAGTATGACAGCACAGCCTCAGTGGTGGTGCAGCATGGCAGGGCGTGATTGGCGTGTCGAGGCATCGGAGCGGGCGAGTATGCGCCGACCTTGCATCGAGTGCGTAATGCCTAGCTGCACGAGAGAGTGCGGAGGATACCCAGCTGGCTGCCACGCCCTTGGATGCCGGCGGCGAGGGACTTCGAGTAGTGATTGTACCGTGAATAAAAAATAGTAGCGTTACGTCAGTCGCTGGGTCTCGTGGCAGATGTGGAGAGGGGTAAAGACAGAGCCAGGTATTGGCATCGTGTCCACTATTGCGGTATGGTAAGGCCGAAGACATGGCCCGGCGGCGCTCAGGAGAGGAACAGCCGAAGATTGCTGGGCGGTGATCGGCATTGAGCGACCAACTGGGTTTGGCCTGCTTCCTTCTATTTCGAGAAGGGGGACTCCGCCTCAGTGTGAAACGCCTCGTCCATCCCTCCCATACCATCGCTCTGCTCTCTCACTCACTACACACTTCAATCCAACATCCGCCATCTTCAACCATCGACGCCTTTTCTAACTCACCCAAAACACTCGCTCCATTTCCCTTCGACAAACGCGCTCAATCCACGAGGCGCGGATCCAACGGCACAGCCACACTTCCGGCAGAACCGGCCCAGAGAGGAGCTGACGACGACTTTCCAGCAGCCTAACCGCTCTGGTCACCCACCCAGTGCCCGCAACACAACACCCCCAAGACATCCACTCGCCTGCCTAAGGAACGCTCAAACGCGATCAGCGACTCCCCAGCAGGTCCAAACAATCAACAACCGACATGGCTACCGCAGTCCAGCCTGCCATGACCATGGCCCCCTTCAACCAGCATCCTAATCAATGCGTCGACCCCAATGAGTTCTTCGACTTTGGCCAGATGCCCTCGCCCACCCAGCCTGCCACGCTGAAGAGGGAGTCCAGTGCGACTTCGACCATGGCTAGTCCCACCAGCACAAATATCGACGACGACCTCCAGACACCCGCAAAGCCTAGCCACGAGTACGAGCGCTTCAAGCAGCAGACTGGCCTTCCCACCGGTTCCATCTCCGGCCTGAATGCCGGTTACAACACCGGCTTCCCCATGTTCTCGTCCACCGGCTTGGACGAGATGGCCATGATGGGCGGCGACTCCATGATGGACGGCGCCTGGAACACGGGCCTGCCCATGGACGTCGGTATGAACATGGGCGTCGACTACCGCCAGAACAGTTTCGCCTTCAACGATGCTTCCGACGACTACGTCGACCCAAGCGCCATTACACAAGAGGAGGTCGCCAACGTCCGGGTATGGCCCGGTATGCATCAACAGCAAGCTGCTATGGCCAAGGCGCAGGCGCAGGCCCAGCAGCAGCGAGCACAGCAGTTGGCCCACCAGAAGCAACAGCAGGCCATGCAGCAACAACAGCAACAGCAACAGAACCGCATGCCCTCCACCAGCTCCGCCAGTCGCAAGACATCGAGCCCGCTCAGCGACGCCCACACCGAAGAGATGATCACCCGCGTCGTCGCTCAGATCCGGGCCGACAGCCAGAACGCGTCTGCCTCCATGCAGAACGACAACCAAGGCCTCCTCCCCCACATCATTCGCGCAAAGAAAGACGAAGAGGATATGGACGAGGACGAGAGGCTACTTGCGTCCGAGGAGGGCAAGAAGCTGAGCTCCAAGGAGCGCCGCCAGCTCCGTAACAAGGTCTCCGCTCGCGCTTTCCGCTCAAGAAGGAAGGGTAAGCTAACACGATCATCACCATCTATGGAATGCCAACTAACTTGACTAGAATACATTGGCCAGCTCGAAGGCGAGGTTGCCATGAAGGTCAACGAGGCCAACGAACTCCGCGCTCAAAACCGCCTCCTCATGGAGGAGAACGCCCGTTCCCGCGCTTTCATCGAGCGCCTGCTCCGCCACCAAGCTTTTACTCCCTTCCTCGAGGAGCTCTCCCGCGACGAGTCGCTCCAGGCCAAGGCGCCCATGACCTCAATGCCGTCAACTTCAACACCTGTCGCCACTGCTCCTGCCCCGGCTCAGTTCCAGCAGCAACAACAACAGTTCAACGGCATGTCGCAAGCTGAGAACACCCACGTCGGTATGACCATGGTCCCCGAGCCCCAACTCGACTTCGCCATGCTCAACCTGAACAACAACGGTAACAACGGCAACAACTGGGGTGTCAACAACGGCTTCAGCTTCCAGCAACCAGTCGCTTTCGCCGTCACTGAGCTACCCGAGGGCCCCAGCAACCCCCTTGATATTAAAGCTATGTCTGGCAAGGGATACAGCGCTATCCTGAATGCCGAGGACGACTCACCTGTTGAGGAGGCCAAGGCTGACTACCCCGTCATTGAGCGCCCCGTTCAGTCCGAGCCCGCCGCTGCTATCGAAGAGACCGAAGAAGAAGAAGATGCTGAATACGACCTGTACTACTCTTCATCTACTCCCTCCGCCACTGCGCCGATTGAGGACCAAGAAGCGCTCTTCACCAACCCTGAGAAGGCCTTTGCACGCTACTCGCTAATCATCTCGGATGATGCCAACGAGGCACTTCTAGCAGAGCGTCTGGAGAGGAAGATCGCCGCCATGAGCCCAGTCATGCAAAGAATAGCCGATATCACATCGATGCTCGACTCATAGCTAAATCTAAAGGCTTAACATGTCGTTCTTTTCTGATTCTCTTTGCGCGCCTATACTGCAGCAACTTTATTTGATAGACTGGTCCTACATGATTGTAACGATTCCCTTTGTTTGATCATATGCAGCCACAAACAGCGAGTAGGCTTCTCTCTTTCCATTCCCTTTGTTATCTCGGTACTGTGCAATGGTATCAAGCGTACTTCACTTCCGTTCTGGACGGCGTTTAACGGCAATGGGTTTTCTTGTAGATATATTTGACCCCGAGGTCGATGGGGGTGAAGGGAGAGAAAGTGGAACCGACATCATGTAGAGTGCATGTGGGATTGAATACACTGTCGAAGTTAATTGTCTGTTCCGTGTCATCGATTGTAGTGCCTGCTCCATGTCGACTCATCAGCCACCAACCCACAAGAAGGAATCAAGTGTGTCTCGCCCTCCGCTCCTCCGTCGATATATTCCTCCACCTATCCACCAGGTGTCGCGCCCCCACGTCCTCTGCCCTACACACTTTACCCATATTAACCACCCGTTCTACCGTATCTGCAACATTCCCTGTCCGTCTTCCCTGCATACGGATTGTCGGCGACGTTAATTTATTTTTTCCTTTCATACACGTCACTTTCCACAATCCTTTATGCCTCCCATTCACGCATTGCACCAACGCGACCCTCTTTAAAGCGTTGTTCATGCGTCGGGTACTATGATTGACTCCCGGAACAATAGCACATATAGTGTTATAGGCCTGTATCCTGGTGGTATAATATCCAAAGTATGAGTGAAAGGCAGGGATGTGGAAGTAGGCGGGAGATGGCAGATGGAAGATTGGTAGCGAAGGAAGATCTAGTGGGGGTTCGTTGATACTTGGAGATGGTGGGGAAGTGGGTGAAACAGAAGTGAGGGGAGTGAAGGTATTGTAACAGTGCAAATGATACTTGTTTTCGTTAATAATAATAAGAAACTGCTAAGCTCTCTCCCATAGAGAGTTTACACTATCCAACCGTAGAACGCCTCTCAGATCCCTAATATGCAAACAAGAATTGAAGAACCCCTCCTCCACTCTGTGCTTTTCTGACCATTCTACTTCCTCTCCATGTCTGCCAGACTCATTCCTCCGCTGAGGGCATTCCTCGCGCGCGCATGTTGGTCTTGCCAGCGTGTTCGTGCCCCGTCGACGGCTGCGCCTTCTTTTGTTGCGACGATTGTTGTGTAGGTTATGCCGAAGGCTTGGAACAAATGTTAGTTGTTTGTTATTGCGTACAAGAGTGAAAGAAGAGTGAGAAGAACAAGGAAGGTGGACATGAAAGGGAATTGCATATGGATTGGAGGCAGGAAGACTTACCAAGAAAAGCGGCGAAGGAGGGAAGGTAGGACTTTGCTACTGCTGGCATTTTGATCGTTGGTGGTGTTGTTGCGGGTTGGATTGGATTGGTCTTGACAGTGAGATGGCTTGCTGACTCTAGTGATGACCGTTGATTGATGAGCTTTTTGTTGCCAGATGTATTGATGTATATGCGATTCAATGCGATGCGAGAATGCGATAGTAGTCGGTGTGACTGTCTAGCTGAAGATTGCTATGGCTGAAAGATGATGATGAACAACCAAGTCAAGCAAAACCACCAGCCTTATATCCACCTGCTTCAGGTCCTCAAACGCAACGATGATACGGTTCGGTGCCTACCGAAGCTGCGTGATCCCACGACCCCGGAATTGGCTTATGACAACATGCCAAAAATATCAGCCTGGATTCTGGGATCGCGAGACACAGCAGCAACTTTACAATACGATTGGTCAGATTTACCGAATATACGTCTACATCATCTGATGCATTCCTGCGGAGAATGGCAAAGGGAATGTTGGTGGCGAGACATGGGAGCGAGAACGCGGTGTTCGGACTATGCCGGGATGGTGTGTGGGGTGACCCGTTGGCGAGGGTCGTACGATAGTAGAGCGACCACTCAGTCGGGTTGGTGCGCAGGGGGTGGAAGGGAACCTGCTTCGAGTGGTTGCTGGTGCGCTTACTAGAGTAGTTTTTTTTTTCACGATAATGAGGATAGCGGGACTGTGATGGCTCGTAGGTAGCCTTGATAGTGGAAGAAACCCTCGTGGTGAAGGGGGTGTTAATGCTCCCTGGCAGCGACCAACTTGGTAAACTCGGGTTTCTGAGCGTCATCGTTGTACATTCTCAAAATCCGAATTACCTTAAGTCGCGGCGGTGCACGGCTGTACGTATCGACCGACTTTCTTGGATGATGCCCACAACGCTTCATCGCCCTATTTCCAGCTTCTAGTCGTGTTGTTCCAGATGATGCAAACGTGGAAAGTGCGGAGGCTATGTAGATGGCAGGCTAACTGTCACGGTGGGGGGAATTATCGGGAGCTGTTCCATGCCGTTTAATGGTATACCTAGGTGCCTTTGTCTCACTTCATTCTGCTCCTTCGTGTAGCGTCGCCATGCAGACTGCGTTGCGTCTGTGGATCCATGGATTGATCTAATCACTTCGCTTGCGCACATATGAACAAAGGCCAAGGGTTCGCAGCGATGAGAAGATTCCAACTTCCTTGAGTGAACAGATCTTTGGCACGTTCCACATAAACCTCGTATGCATCACTCATCCCTGATGCACCTCAAGTCAACACTGCTATACTGAAAGTTGGCACCCATGTCCGTGGTACTTCGGGTGGTACAAAGAAACTATCATGGTTAGAGTACTCTCTAGATGGATCTTGACAGCAGAGAGTGAGATTCACGAGTAGAGATGGGCAGTAATTTAAGGTAAAGTTAGATTTATTAAAGAAATAATGGATAAACTACTCGGACGTCCGGTTGTCCTGCAGAAAACTGCAAATGTGCACATATGATCCCAAACAATACAACTCCTCCACCAATACGCAGGCGCGTCCCTTGTTTCTTCCCGCCATTTCCGGAGACAACGACGCTCAAACCTGTTACATGTACCCGCGAGTCTGAGACTCAAGCGAGTACAAGTGCAAGGCGTGCATCTAGCTATCTCTTCCACCTGTTTCTTCATTTCCGCCGCCTATGCGTGAAGCCGGAGTCCTAGGGCTGAGCAATATTGAACCAACCAAACAGCGCTTGCGGGCCGACCCAGTTGGGCCGACGCAGGTACTGTCTGATCTGCTACGAGTCCGTGCCCAGGTATTATCCCACGCCTCCGGCTGGCTACCAGAGTCATCATTGATTTGGTCGTTAATTCGTGTCGTTCGTCGTCGTCAATACATGCGTAGTCCGTTGAAATGGATACCATGCACAAAAGTGGAGATAGGCAAACAGCCAATGCGTCAGTCATCACGGATCTTCATAGTCGTAGAAGCCGTCGAAAAGATCCGTGACCACCTTCAGCATCGGCTCCATCAAAGTCCTTTCATCCTCCGGTAGTCCACCAAAGATGCGGAGTCGTTGAGTTTCCAACTCTTGCTCCTGTTCCTCCTGAAGGCGAAGCCGGGTTTGCCATGCGGTATAAGTTTGCTGCCAGTGGTTCGCAGTGGCGTTCGCAATATGGTGGCTTCGAGGATGGAAGCAGGAGCTTGTTGCAGAGAGAGTTGAAGAGGTAGTGCTGACGGATTCACTTCGAGTGTGATTGATGATTTGCGGTGGTGAATTGTCGTTATTGTTGTTGCGGTTCCGAGGACGGCTTCTTGTTCGTTTTCTGTTGTGACGCTTGCCCATGTCGTCTATTCCAAGTATTCGTTGATATATAAATAAGTAATGATATGTTTGAGGGGAGATGGCGAGAGGTGGGGCGAAAAGCCGCAAAGGCGGCTGATAGTCTCAGGAGAGTCAAGCTTACGAGCAAGATACTTACCCAGTCTTATATACATAGGACGACATTGCATCACGTATGCAGGTACAAGCTAAGTCAAGGATGTCAGTAGGCTGCATAGTGACTCAGAGCCGCGCGATGGTGTGACGGGGAGAAGGAAGATGCTAGATCATAGCCCAGATGACAGCAAATCCGGACCCACTGTCACAACCGTGCACGTGCATGATTGGTCAGAAGGCATCGCGGTCCAAGCCGAACTTCGGGACCTGCAGGAGTCATCCTCGTGCTGGGCATGCACAACTCATGAATCCGCAGAGTCTTCACCTCTCTTTGCCCAACACTCATCGTAATTTCCTTGTTTCACCTTCTTTTGCTTCTTCGACTCACAACTCTGACGACATTCACACGGACAAAGGGCGCGCGCGTGATGAGCACAGCCGTGGCGAAGTGCTATTCTGCCCTTTCTTTACGACCACGGGACTCTTCAATGCTGGGGCTATGCCATGGTCACTGCGAATATCGGTGACGGGTGACTGCGAACAAGCGCATGCCGGATTTGTACCTTCTAGACGGCGGCCATGTGCCTGGCCATGCGACGACCTAGGATCGCGGAAGGCGGATGAAAAACCTCGACTGCGCTCTGACCGCCATGGGGTCGAGGGCGACGGGATGCGCTGCGTGGGGATGCCACATCACGTTGCCGACCGCCATGTCAAGTAGACGGTGAACGTGAACCTGGACGTTATACTAGGGGTGCTAACATGGAAGGAAGTTTTTGATGAGAGACATCCGCACAGGCTTCATGACCCATGTCATCTGCCTCACTAACCATTAGTCTAGCCTCCCAACCAACGACCATGTTCGCAACCCCTTGGAAGAAGAGCCTCGCAGAACTGTCGCCTAGTCGCTGCCTACACTCGCGAACGAAGGATCATGCTAACGCGAGCCAAGTTGCTCGAGTCAGACGCGTGCGCCCGCGCAAGGCTACAGACACTTCGTCGCGCAATCACGTGTTCAGCATGGCTGAACCCTAGGCCTCCAGGACAACCTCACTAATCTCATATCGACGTCAACGAGTTCTCTTGCCTGAGGCACTCGTCACATTATGAGAGTCGGAGCTTCCACATTGTGTTTCGCCGACATCTCACTTTCGGCTCTCCAATATATACCCCGACCCCAAGTCAGACTAGGTCGACCATGTCCACCACTCGAAACACTCGAAAAAGCTGCGGAAACACGTAAGCTCGACCGTTTTGTGGTCTAAACAACGTCATTTGTGTCATTTTCAGACACGCTTCATCGATTTGGGGCTTTTCGGCTTGTGTTCTGGGTGATATTGTAAGATCAGCGGTCCACGGGTCGCAGGTAAGAATAGATTAAGTAGCCAATGTTTCTTCTATCAAGCTGTAAAACCACCACGTGGAGTCAATGTCGCTTTCGGGACACTCTACACTCTCATCATGACTTCCACCACACGAGCGATGCTGCTCAGCCTAGGTATGGAACTAAGTTGTGGATCTAAGGATCCAACTAATTGAATGCTAGTAGCGACCGCAGCTTCTGCGCAATACGGACCTGGTGGCCGATATGGTCCTGATGGATCTGGAGGAGGTAGTGACAACGATGATAACGATTTCGGCTCATCATTTGGCGGCGGCCGCGGCGGTTTTTCATTGGAATCACGACACAAGATCATCATAGCCCATGGTGTTCTGGCAGCCCTAGCATTTGTCTTGTTCTTCCCAGTTGGATCGATCCTCATTCGACTAGGATCATTCCGCGGCGTTTGGCTTGTCCACGGCTTGTTTCAACTCTTTGCGTATGTCGTATACATCGCAGCATTCGGTATCGGCGTTTGGATGATCAACAACATACCAGTCAACATGCTCGACAATTACCACCCGATCATTGGTATCATTGTCTTCGTTCTGCTCTTTTTCCAACCTATCCTTGGTTTCGTACATCACCTCAAGTTCAAGAAACATAATCGCCGAACTATCTGGTCGTACGGTCATCTCTGGCTGGGACGTATCCTGATCACGATGGGCATGGTTAATGGTGGCCTCGGTCTGCTTCTTGCATCGGACGCACCCGCATTCACTGGATTTGCTCCAAGCCGGGGTCAGACTATCGCGTATGGAATCATCGCTGGTATCATGTGGCTGCTTTGGGTTTCCGCTTCGATCTATGGGGAGAGAAAGAGGAAGATCCCGCGAAAAGCAGCATTGAACAAGGAAGTCGATGACGGATCGCCACGCCCTTATGATGATGGAAAGGAATATTATGCGTATGTCGGTCGCTGTTCTACCTATGTGTGTTCCGTTGCTAACCGTATGACAGGCAACGAACTTATGCTTGAACGTATCAATGATTTCTCAGAGGAAAGCAGTGCACATTGAACCTAGTACAATGTTTAAAACGGTTATTTTAAAAACATAGCGCGCTTCCCACACAGTTTTTATTACCTGGCGTGCCTGATAACGCCTTGTCTTTATGCTTGTCTCCTTCGTAACAAAACCCTATACAGAACTTTTTCTACTTATCCTCGCAATCTCGTGGGTCAGACAAGTCTTTGTCTTCTTACTTGCTGCATTTGGCCGTGGCTGATGCAACCGCTTCGTTCGGAACAAGGAACCTAATCGGTCGACAAGAAACGTATTAGCAAGCATGATAATCTTCGCCATTCCGTTTTTTTTAACCATACTCGGCGAATTAAATAACCAATTGGTAGAGTGAAGAACCACAATGCCCATATACGGGTTGCAAATCCATCGCGGGAGTCCTCCAAGTGATGTTTTTCTGTCATAAAAACCCAGATACAGCTCGCAATCCACACCACTGTATCAAAGAGAAAAGATAAATATCCTTTTTAAGAGTGCTCCTTCCTTCTATAAAAGAATATACTAGGAGCTATACAGATGTGGATAGAAACAGGCAAGACTACAACACTTAATCTTTGTAAGTTTTGTTTTAAGGAGATAATGTAGGCTCAATATAGTTTTCGCGGTCAAACTCTATACTGGATACTGCGAGTATATATAGTAGTAACACACTTGATCTGTCAGTAGTGGCTTTTATGTATATGGCGAAAATACTTCTGCTCTTGCATTAAGAAGAAGGTACACGCGTACTAAATCGGGCGCAATACTGCCACTTGTAAAAGCATAGCATGGACCCTTTGGTTGTCTTATTCGTTCATTTGTTCATTTGTTTTAGCAGCATCAAAGCTGAGGGTATCTATCTCCGGCTGTTGAAAGGCCAGATCCTTCTTTTGTCTTACGCCAGAAACACCATCACGATGCCTCGACGATACCTATACCTAGCTGAGCACATCGACGACAGCTGCTAGGCATGGTAAGCACGAACCTTCTCGCGGAGGCATGCCCTCGTAGATTGTTGAAATACACGAGCTTCAGCGCTCACTCGATGTGAGGACGCTTAGCTGCTGTAAGTTTGCTTGGGCTGCGGGTATGAAGGGCCGAGCTCCTGGATGCTGAGCTTGGCGAGCCATTGACCCATGTCGATGGCCTTCTCGAGCGGCTTGCCCTGGACGATACCAGCAACGAAACCTCCAGCGAAAGCGTCACCGGCACCGTTGGTGTCGTTGATCTGCTCCTCCTTGATGGCGTGTACGGCAACCTCCTTGACATCGGCGTCTCCGCCCTCCTTTGCGGTTACGGCGACGGTAGGGTCAGTGCCCTGAGTGATGATGACAGTCCTGGATCGCTTGGTGTTCTTCTTGGGTGTGCTGGCAATCTTCTTTGCAATCTCCTTCACGTCCTTGGTCTCCCAGCCATGCGCCTCGGCGAAGGCGGCGGCTTCAGTCTCGTTGCCGATGACGATGTCAACGTATGGGAGGACCTCATCAAGAGGGTCCTTGAAGAACTGTGAGATAAAGGGCGCAGAAAGGTTGAGGATGAATTGCTAGAATTCAGTCAGTACATTGATCTTCCCTCAGCACGTCAGGACTTGTCGTACCTTGTCCTTGGCAGCAGCCTCCTCAGCCAGTGCCTTGATAGCCGGCACGCTGACGGTCAAGTGGAAGCCGCCGACGTAGAAGACCTTGGCATTCTCGACCTGCTTCCAGATGTGGTCCTGCTTCAAATGGTCGATCTTGTAGTTGTTCGCAGCAGCGAGGTCGGTGCACATGGAGCGGTTGTGGCCAGTGATGACAACACCGCAGCGACCAGTAGGAGTCTTCTCGTCGTAGAGGTACTCAGTCTTGACACCAGCATCGGCAGAGATCTTCTCGAGAGTCTCGCCGTACTTGTCCTTGCCAATGCATCCGATGTAGACGACCGATTTGGGCTCGAGGATGTAAGCTGCACCACGGGCGGTGTTTTGTGCCGCACCACCAGCGATGAGGACAGCGTTGTAGTTTTGGAGCAAGTCCTCATACAGGCCCATGTGCTTCTCTGGGTCGGCGAGGATAGCATCGTTGGCCTTCAGGCCATACTTGTCGAGGAGAGCCTGGTCACTGCTAGCTGTTAGCAAAGGTCGCTGTGCTGCTCGGCAGTTGTTTCGAAGCATTGTGGCCCTAATCAAAGGAAAAGCAGACTTACCCAACACCCTGGATGTCCAGAAGCGGGTTCTCGAGGCACAATAGTTCGTAGTTTCCAGGCATTTTGGTTGTAGTGGATGAAAAGAGGTTCTGTTGGTGTCGTAATGGAGAGAAAGTGCTGAATGTGGGGCAGGGTTTCGGACAGCGAGGGGCAGCAAGCTCCACGCTAAAAATTACGCCGATAGGCATGCGCCGACTCAAACAAGGAAGGTGTAGCCGAGTGAACAATCTCGCCGAGCATGCGAGAGAGGGCGACATCTTGGAAGATCAGATATGTAATGCAGGAGAAGGACGAATTCTTCGAGTGTTGTGTATATTTTAGACAAGATCTTGCTCTCGAACGAGGCTCACGACATGTCAGGCCACCGCTACCTCAGTCGAAATATAATTAGCCTGTCGAGAACAGCAGTACAAGAATGTCAAGAATCAAGAGTGTTCGCATAACTCCATGTCATAATGATAAAGTAAAACAAAACTTCCTAAGCTAGAGGTTGAGCATTGAAACTTAACCCATCTTCCATCCAACGACTCAGAGTCTTGGTGTTTGAGGAAGATAAGCCATGCATCAAGCCCAACAATAGCCTGACGAGCAGGCAATCAGGACAAACCCAAGCAATAGTGCAATAATTTCAGTCTGTAAAGCAAAAAATTCCCCTTCTAAGTAAGTTCCCCTTGATCTTCGACCGACGTCAAGAACAAGTTCTGACTCGCAAGCGAAAGCATTGTAGGAACACACATCCAGCATTCAGAAGGATACGTGCGCTCATTCAGTCGGAGAGCATTCTCGGAAGCCTTCCAACGAGCTCCTCAGCTCGGGCATGACAGTCTTGTAGTACACAGAACGGGTAGTCTGGCGAACGGCATGTCTGATGACAATAACCACTGATGAGAAGACAGCATTGAGCAGCCTGCTACGGCTGCGTTGGGGTCAGATCAACCGCCTTGGCCGTTTGGAGGGGTGCGCCCCCAAGAGCTCTCAGCACCATCACGGTACGAGCTGAACAGGAGCGGACTCGCCATGCTTGCACTATTTGCGTATGCGTATTGGTGGTGGTTGTTGAAATCACTGCCATATGCCGACCCCCAGTTTGAGGGGCTGCCGACCTGAGTTCCCCAAGCAGCACCACTACCAATGCCGCTAGGAGCCCGAGTAGCGATAGGAGTGCCAGTCTCGACGCTCAGGAGCGAATTTGCCGAGTCACCTCGCACATGGCCAGACAACCTGGGTTTCATACTATTCATGGGAGATCTTCGGAGATCATTACCCAGACCGTTGGTGTTCAGCATGGAGGGAGATGCTGGACCAGGCGTACGATTCCAAATAGAATTCGAGTTCCACTGACCATCAGGCACAGAGGGCAAGTTCGGTGGCTGGCGGATAGAAGAAGTAGAACCGGACCTTCCCATTGGCGTGGAGAGCATCGTGGGCATGGGAGCGGGAGACAAGGGCTTGTAGTTCCTAACCGAGTTGACCAAGTCGTTGATCGACAATGCCGCAGGCACAAATGTGTTATCGTTGACAACGGCCGTGTCATCGAATGTCTGCTCTGGTGGTGTAGGCGGAATATTTTCGTCTTCTTCAACTAAAGGGTCCAGTCCAGTCTCGTCACCTACCAGATCGTCCACCATGTTGCGCATCGCGTTATCCTTAGCAAGCGTAGTGGATGCAGACTCCGAAGCTGCCGCAACAGAGTGTGACTTCTGGTCATCTGGAATAGGCGCATGCGTATGCTCAAATAAAGGCAGATCGGTTGTTTGGACCGGCAGAACGGGAGATCCGTCAGGTCGGTTCGTGGGACTCGCCAAAAGCTCCGATGGTAGACCTGCTTCTCGGTAGATGAATCGTGAGCCTGCCAAGTCCAAGTCCAGCGGAGCATCATCATTCTGCGTGAGGAGCAAACCGTCGATGAGCAGATCCTTGACTCGCATGAGCATCTCGACGTTCGGGTGGTTGCGCTCTAACTCAGTCCATTTCTGCTTCATGACATCTCCGTCATACCAGAGCTTCATAGTGTCTGGGTGGATCAACGGCTCGAAGCCAATCGTGTCCGTGTCTTCCTCGAGCATGTAGTTCTCTTGCGGAAGCTGATCGACAGGGAAGCTCGAGGCCAAAAGCGAAAGCGTCGCAGCATAGGCTTTCCAGAGCTCCTGGACATCTACTGTGTTCAATGTATCCGCGATATTGGCGTTGAGTACCTTCCAGTAGCGCGTAAACCAGGTGCTGTACAGGCGAAGACCTGGGAGGATGCGGCGTGCTACAGCTGTGATCTTGTCGGACAAGTGGGCGGCGCGATCGCCGTTCTGATGCTTCACGTCATTGCCTTCGGACAGGCGATCCAGTTCAGGTTGTAGAACCTGCAAAAGGATAAAGAATGTCTTGACATTCAGACGAAGGTAATAGAAATATGTGCGCATGATGTTCGGGGGTGGATTCTCGCCTATAGGAATTAGCATAGTCAGTTTGTGAAGATTGAGGAGCTTACTCTGCAACTGCACCGTCGCAAAATATTCCGCGGACATGTTTATGAGGATGATCTTGGTCAGAATGGAGTCCAATGGGCGCTCTTTAAGCTCGATAGCCAAATGGCTGAGCACTTCGCCCTCTAGCTCATCGTGAGCAGCGAACTCCTCGCCCTTGTAGAGCTTGCTATGCAGTCTGATGAACCAAGCAATTAAAGCCCGACCGGTATTACCGTCGGCTGATTTGTGATTGTTGATGAGCTGCCCATTATCCCATGCGGTAATGACGCGCTTGAACTCAGTTGCCAGATTTGCCTTGGCCGACGGGTACGGTTCCTTGCTTGCTAGCGAGCGATAGAGGTGATATACACAGCGGAAGTGGTCGCCGTCCTCGCGCGCGATTACTGCGAGTTGGTTTGGCGCATGCCCAGAATCTGGATATATCTCTGCGGCGAGATCGTAGTAGCCTTTAGCCGGGCCCCAGTTGCGCTCCTTGTTCTTCTCAACGAGTTCGGTTTCGCGGTAGCGGGAGAGATCGCCGAGTTGGATGAGCGTTTGGTGGCAAGAGATGAGGACCGGTGTCTTGAGTTTCGCGGGTATGCGCTGACGCGGTGATGACTTGGAGGCTGCTCTACTGTCAGTGGCATCGCGTGGAGCGAGCCGGACGTGCTTACTATCATCCTTCCATTTTTGGGCGATTTTGCGCAGTTCTGGAATGCCGTCGAATTGAGTGTCAAGGTTCAGTATGTACTGGCGGTAGAAGCGCTGGCTGGCTTTGATGAACTGGAGATACGTCTTCTGGAACTTTCGGATCTCGACAACATGGTCCTTGGAGCGCTTGAGCTGGCCAGATATTAGCGTTGTCTCTTGCGCTTGTTGTCCCGATGACGCACGAGTTTATGTTCCTGCCTGAATTTGGTGTTGACCTTCAGGTGCGCATTCCACAGCGTCGTCTGGAGTTCGCGGGCGGATGCGTACTCGAAGTTGGAGAAGATGAGGGCCTCGCAGGCGGCGCGGTACCTGTCGAGCGTTAGTCGTCGCCTGCTGGAAGCGGCAATAGTGCCCTACTCTTGCAGTACCGCAGCTAACTCGGCGCACGAAGAACCGCCATCAGCGCGCTTATAAAGCTCCCTCTCAATCGCCTTGGCCCGCCTACACTCTATTAGCACTCGGCGGGCATGGTCGTGATGACGCCAGGACACACCTGTCAAGTTGTTCAGTGTTCGCGGCCATGCCTTCGGTGTGCAGGAGCCGGCGACGTTCCTATGTGACCCCACGGTCGGCGGGCAGGTCAGACGAAGGCACGGAGCAGGCGGCGGACGTTGTGGCTGGCGTGCTCCATTTATGGTGAAGTTGTATGCCCTGCGTGTAGGACAATCAGCGATCGGAAGGGTCTCGGAGGCAAACAGCGCCCAAGACGCGGATGTATGGCGTCAGAGTGGGAGGCGATGGCCGTCGTGTGAGGTGAGAGAAAGTAAGGTTGGTTGATGAGTCGCGAACTAGCGGGCAGCAGTCTCGGAGCTAAGGTACCACGGCTCAACCTATCTGAGTACCAAATCTCCCTCCTCCACCACACGGCCAACACCAAGGTGAAACAGCCCTGCGAGACAGCACTCTCGCCGGTAAAAGGTACTGCCCCTCTCATCTACGCCTTGTCACACTCATAATCAACCCCAATCAACATATAATGGGGATCAAGCGCTCACACCGCGATTCCTCGTCATCAGACAGCACACCCTACTCGCGTGAGACGTCTGTCGACATCAAGATTGTCCACTTAGATACCGAATCTGCCATCTCTGACGAACCAACCATCATGAAGTGCTCACTGCCTCCACACGAGCCGCTGGCTTTCGCGTCTATTGAGGATCACGATGTGCACTATCAGCAGGTCCACATGAACCGATGCAGCGAATGCCACAAGAACTTTCCAGATCAGCATTATCTCCATCTGCACATCGCAGAGTACCACGATCCCATCAATGCTGCTAAACGAGATCAAGGAGAGAAAACGGTAGGTCATTTCCGCACATAGCTTGTCACGTGTTCGCTCCTTTCCCTTATCGAGGGGCATCTTCCTCCCGACGCCTTCACCTGTCCATTGGAGCGAGATTGATGAGGTATGCGGGGTTATAGTACTGTCGTTTGAATGTTGTAGCTGATAACCTACAGTATGCCTGTCTTCTACCGGAGTGCGATCGCATGTGCAGCACGCCACAAAAGCGCCGCCTGCACTGTATAGACAAACACCAATTTCCCCGCGAGTTCGACTTCATTGTTGTGAAGGATGGTATAGACCGCAGAAGTAGCATGTTAATACCCTCTCATCGACGCAGAAGCTCTACCATGAGCTCAGCGAGCAACGCTACTGGACGGCGGAGAGGTGAGTCGAATGCAAGCATAGTAGGCGATACCATGGATACGGAACAGGACGAGGGAGATACTCGTCGGTATCCCACCAAGCTTCATGGGCGTGGAGGATTTGGTGGTCGCGGGCTCGGACGCGAAGAGGCAGCAACAGTTACTGCCACGAAGCCGGCTACTGCTGTCCAGTCAGCCGACCCCATGGACAGTCTAACTTCCAGCATGTCTTCACTCAAATTCATCCCTCACAGTGTTCGGGTAGCGCGTGGACGGGGCAGGGGAATAGGCGCTTGAAATGCCTGGTCTCCAAGCAAAGAAAATGAGTTAGACAACCACCGATGGCTTTGCGTTGACACTCTCATGATGTTCGTCTCTGTTGTCGTTGAGTTATCCTGCCCTGTACTGTTCCTTCTTTATCTGTCAGCCGTCACATGGTTAGGGTCGCAAGATGTCACAATAATATTCGACTTGGCGCCGTCCCAGCCAACACCACTCACCTCTCTTGACAACCCGGTATCGTTATTGACTACGGTGGCAAGGTGTGTATAGCGGTCGATATATGTTCAAGTTGATAGCTGATGAGAAACCTGGCCCTGGCTCCTTCCTGGGGAGTGCGCTCACCAACGAGGCGATGATACGTATTGTCTGGCTGTACTACGCGCTTCTAATTGTCCTATATCCTTTCGATCGTCTGGAGCTACTCCGGCTGGTGGGAGTGGAATGCGGATTTGTTTGTTGCCATGTGTTCTCGATACGCATGCTCCTCACTCCGTCACAACAATCGCCCGACGGCCCCCTGCGCGCAGTCGCTATAAGCGTACGAACACCATACAGACTCATAGCTGCTATGAAGCCATCAACTGTTGCTCGCTGCGCGGTCGCAAACGAATATTTGCGCCGAAGGAAACAGCCTTGCTGTGATGCGACCAATCGCGGTCGCCCCAACCACCACGTCAAGCTTTTGAGTGTCACGTTTGAGGACGTGTCGCATGACGGATCACGAAAGGAGCAAAGGTTGATGGAGAGTTCACAGCCACTCAGGTCACCGACAGTGAGAGAGCACTGTTGCACAGAGACAGGTGTGATGAGGATTGTCGCTTTGGACAGGACCAGTGAAGCAACAAGTAGGTTATAATCACGTACAAATTTGGCAAAATTCTTGGGACGAAAGCTAACATAGAGCCACGATAGTGCATTCACGCAAATCTAGCGTTTGGGTGCCAACCACAAAGCGCCAACGTACCAGCAGCGCTGTTTTGCTGGCTTTACAACCCAAGACGGATAGAAACGCCCCGACCGCGCCAACAGTCGCGGACGTAGATGATCAGGATATCTATCTCGAAGAACCAATTTCGAATGAATGCAGTACTGCAACACAAGCGTCGCAAGACATGGCCAAACAAGAATACCCGATCTTGACCACTTTTCGCTTCCCTCCCTCTGGAGATGACTGTACATCCAAAATCAGTGTTCGGTCAACGCACTCTGAGGTATCAAGTGATACAGCATCGCCAACCTCGGATGCGACCCTCTTTGAAGATGCGCCCCTATGTCCAGTCAGCCCGTCAGGCTGCGGTGAAGACTTTCCGGATTGCACAGATCACAACGACATCCTAGGGAAGAGATTGTCAGCCAAGTGCGCCAATCAAGTCAAAGATTACGAACCGACTCCAATGTCGAGGAGGTATGTCCGACACTGCCGGCACATCTCGTCTAGTTCGGCCGTTGACGTTGCCGAAACACTTCCAACTTCCTTGCGGTCGAGAGCAAAGACGAATGATGGCCTGTTTTTGTTCAGGGCAAATCCCTTTAAAGAGCCCACAGCCAATGTTCACAGGGGCAGACACCGTCAAAGAATTTCTCTGAATCTCCCAGTGAACTCGCATGCTGGTCAGCGCAGCGGAACCCAGCAATCTAGACAGCCTGATACTGAGGATTTGACCCAGCCGTTGGTTGGCGACGAGGCCGCGTATCCTGCTACCAAATCGGATACATGGCCCGCAGAAGAACGGGATCTGGAGTACAAGCACCGACATACCTTTATAGGAACCGCCTCGCTAGACGACTTCATAGAAATTCTAGAAATCTCAAAAACACACACCACTACCAAAGGCGCGGTCGCTCGAGCATTCGTACAGCTAGCTTCAGCCGAGCAGCTTTACGCTCGACAATGCTCTACTAGGAACAATGGATGGGAGCTTATCACACCAACATCACTGACCGTCATGGACGTTACTAGCGTCGATTATATCGTACAGTTGCGAGTCAAGCTGGGTTCCATCACTCTGAGGCAGTTTCTAGATTTGATACCTTTCGATGAAGATGATGAGGCAGCGGCGGTGCATGTCGTTGAAGCCTTCTCAATTGCTAGCCACATGGACACGACGGCGGCTATAGGAACAATTAGCAAGGCGAAAGCTTTCAGGAGTTGGTTAGTCGAGCAGATGAAGGTCGACGCAGGTCATTGAAGGCTAGCGAGATGTTGGAGGGTAAAGTACTCAATCGGTTTTCGAGTGTATGCCTGCTGTTTTGTATCGACCAGACAAAGCATGGTTGAAGGTGAGCGCGCTATTCCCTACTATACCTAACTACCCTTCTAGCCTCAATAACCCAATCTCACTAATGTATGTACCTATATGCACCCCAGTCTTCTTTACCATTTAAGGTAGTGTAGTCAAAACGGTGACGTACATGTGATGACCAAGACTTCCCTACCCTAGGCCAACACCGAGAATGGGGTTGGCTCAGACGCAGAGCTACCAAAAGACCACAACACGCTTTGTCCGCCTATCCCGAAAAGCCAAGGCAGGAATCAGATCGCTTTCCTGAGCCAAATGTGCAGTGTGTGACTATGAGGACTTCGGAGATAATCAGGCAGTTGAGATTTCTACGTCCACAGCAAGATGCAGCACGTTGATTCCATCGACGGCTCTGTTACACGTGGTTGTTGTTACGCACAAAAAAGGCAAAGTTTCTGTCTTTGTGGTTTGATTTTGGCTATTTTTGGGATTTTGCTGACGATAGTTCGTTAGCACGTACACACAGGTGCACACAATAAGTAGGGTTTGGCGATGCAGGAAAAGTAATAGAACTGTGAAACACCAACGTCCTGACTCCCCAAAGCATACCTAGGTATGTTAGACAATATGAGATTTGACAATCCCAGGAACCCTCCCCCGCACTCACAATGCCGCCTATCCAGGTGGGCACTCTAGATCGTGCACGTGCATTGCTCTGACCATCAACTGCTAACGTCGCAAACTTGCTGCATCCGAAAGAATCACTTCTCATCTTCTCTGCTGGCGCGACTGTCTCGGATACCCGGCTGCACCACAACCCTAGCACGCGTCGCACCCGATCATCCGGCCCGCGCGATCCCAATGACGTGTAGCGAAGCGCATTTGATCTTCCCCGCATCATCCACGATGCAGGAACAAATGCGATTTCCTTGATCGCAGTGCAGTCGCCCGGACGTGGCGGAACGACGTGTCGGCGTTATGAGTAGCTAAGCTCCTCGGCGCCCAAGACATTTCCAAGCAACGCCAATGTCATCTCCAAACTTGGCGACTTGCATTACGCACACCACCCCCTTTGTACAATGTCAAACGGAAACCGCGCGCAATTATGATAGGAGATGGTATCCAGGGCCCGAATAGATCGCCAAGCCTTTCTGGGTTTCGTAGTCATTTAAACGATCCAACCCTAGCCTCGTACCAACGCGGAAGGATGACTTCCAAGCATTGCACTGTCGCCCAGCTACTGCTGCGGCTCAGCGCCGTTACTTGGCTGAAGGCGGAAGGGGTTTCATAACATCACGACTCGCAGCCCCAGAATGCTGCTGTCCTGGCCTTCTCACTCTCCTTCACTATCATCCTACCAACCTCAGGCTCCACTACATCGCTCGCTGTGTAGTGCCTCAGGCACCTTCGTTTTCATACGCATGCCGAGTTCCGAACACCTTACTTTCTAGTGATACCCCGGAGATCCCGCAATGAGACCTTCGAACCTTGTTTTTGCGGCGGTTGGCCTGCTGTCGCCGATTGCCACATCCGCGCTGGAGCTCAATGTTGACGATCCAGGTGGGCACACTGCGACTGTTTTCAAACTCCACTAACGTAGCCAGCCTCTATTAGAGAAGCTACCAAAGTTGTGGCGGCAGGTCTAAGAGAATGGTACACTGGTGACCGGCCGGGCGATGTACCCGGAAACTTGCCAGATCCCTACTACTGGTGGCTATGCGGAGCCATGTTTAATTCCTTCATCGACTACTGGTACTATACCGGCGATGACACATATAATGCTATTACACGGCAAGCAATGGTGCATCAGATTGGAAACCCGAAAGCCTTCATGCCGGACAACCAAACCAGTACACTGGGAAATGACGATCAAGCTTTCTGGGGGATGACTGCCATGTCCGCAGCGGAGACTAAGCTTCCGGACGTCGAGGGAGAGATGTCGTGGTTGTCACTCGCCATCGCAGTATTCAACACGCAGGCACCGCGTTGGAATACCCAGACCTGTGGTGGTGGACTCAACTGGCAAATTTTCCGATTCAACAATGGATTCGACTACAAAAACACTATCTCAAATGGAGCGTTTTTTAACATTGCAGCAAGATTAGCAAAGTACACAGGCAACGCGACATATGTCGAGTGGGCGGAGCGAGCATGGGACTGGCAATACTCTGTCGGTCTCATTAGCCCGGATTACCACTTCTTCGGTAAGAACGCCAGCCTAAAAACCTCAGGTGATGCATATACTGACTTGACATCTCCTTGTTACAGACGGAACCAGCGAGAGGCAGAACTGCACAGAAAAGAACCATATCCAATGGACCTACAACGCTGGAATCCACATGTCTGGCGTTGCAGCGTTGTGGAACATGTCAGAAACGAACGGTGATGCGGTAAGGCTCATTCGACATCCGCAAGTAAACAAGCATATCTAACGTGACATAGGAAGCAGCGGGCAGGTGGCGAGAGCGCCTGGGTGGCATCATTAATGGAACAGACATCTTCTTCAACGCCGAAGGCGCCCCAGGTGTCATGATCGAGATGGCTTGCGAGCGCAACGGACTATGCGACCACGACCAACGCTCATTCAAGGCCTACCTCAGCCGATGGATGGGCTACACGATGCTGAGCGCTCCCTGGACCCGCGACAGGATCATGCCAAAACTCCGCACCTCCGCCGCAGCCGCCGCTCAACAATGCAGTGCCGGAAAAGGTGGATGCGGCCTCAGGTGGTGGCGAGGCGGTGTGAATGATGGAGAAGTGGGCGTTGGAGAGCAAATGTCTGCATTGGAAGTCATGCAGAACTTGCTTGTTGATCAAGTCTCTGGGCCCGTGGGACTCGATACTGGTGGAATCAGTGAGAATGACCCTACCGCGGGTAGTGACGGGGGAAATGTGCGGATTGAGCATGACGCCATCACGACGGGGGATAAAGCTGGTGCGGCAATTCTTACTATAGTAGTATTTGCTGTGTTTTTGGGTGGAGGTGGTTGGCTTATTATGAGCGAGTAGGTTCGTTTCCAATCCAAAACAAGTTTTCAGTTCATCGTATTGCCTGAATTTGCGAGACAGATGCAAGAATCATACGGAGAGTTCTATCATCGAGTTGTAGCAGTACAGCTGTACATTATACGATGTACATTAGCAATACGAGGGTCACGCATTCAAGGCAGGTTTCTCCAACTAGTGTTGCAACGCCAAAGTGTGTTGCAATTCCTTTGATTCGCAGCACTACACGCGTGTAAGTTCTGATATGCATGCATTTGTAATGCTCCGATTGACATCTGTATACGCTGCGGCCTATGAGAGGGCGTGCCATGACATAAGTGTGCAGATCATACCCCACAAGAGGTCAAATGGTGATTGCCTATCCTAGACTTAGCGCAGTGTACTGTACGTAACCCAGCAGGCATTTGTAAGCTCACCGATTGCAGCTTCAACTTCACGACAAGATATAAGTCTACTGTTATAGCTGTCACCTACAGAAAATCACCGGATACCTCCCTGAAGCCTACAATCACGATTCTTGCCAGCGCCGAAGAGATAACAGAAATGACGTCAACCAAATCCTTCAGCTCCACGCCAGCAGGTGCGCAACAGCAACCCACACCCTTCGACTTGCACGTCGAAGAACAGAAGCTGCAGGAATTCAAGACTCTGCTCAAACTGAGTCCAGTCGCAAAAGACACGTACGAGAACAAGCAAGATGAGGGAAGCCATGGCAAGTTTGGAGTCAGCCGGCAGTGGATCGTTGATACAAAGAAGGAATGGGTTGAGAAGTTCGATTGGTATGTATACTCTCGCAACGATCCGAAAGATGTTGTTGTAATGTGATGATATAGGCGCAAGGAAGAGGACCGGATCAACTCTTTCCCCAACTTCAAGACTACGATCAAGGACGATGACAGCGGCAGCTACGACGTCCATTTTGTGGCATTGTTCTCGAACAAATCAGATGCTATCCCTATAGCGTTCTTTCATGGCTGGCCAGGTTCATTTCTGGAGTTTCTGCCTCTTATGGATCTCTTGCGCAAGAAGTACACGCCAGATACTCTCCCTTACCACATCATTGCGCCGTCTCTCCCTGGCTTTGGCTTGTCATCTGACCCTCCTTTACAAAAAGATTGGAAAGTTGCGGACACTTCCCGCATCATGCACAAGCTTCTTCTTTCCCTTGGATTTGGGCCATCAGGATACCTCGTCCAGGGCGGTGATATTGGCAGTCTCATTTCGCGAGAGATAGCAGCCACGTACGTCGAATGCAAAGGCATGCATCTCAACTTCATGCACAGCAGGAACATTCAATCTTATTCTTCGCCGGAAGACAATATTAGTGAAGCGGAGAAGAAAGGTATCGAGAGGATGACCGAGTTTATGGAAGTCGGCCGGGCCTATGCAATCGAACATGGCACCAAACCTTCCACCATCGGTCTTGTACTTTCCAGTTCGCCCATTGCACAATTAGCCTGGATTGGCGAGAAGTTCCTTGCGTGGTCTGATCCTTCCACTACACCTTCACTCAATACCATTTTGTCTGATATCACCCTCTACTGGCTTACTGGTTGCTACCCTACGTCAATATACACATACAGAGAGGCTAAGGAAACAAAATATGTGGACAAGCCGACGGGGTACAGCTGGTTCCCTTTTGAACTGGCGCCTATCCCCAAGGCTTGGGCAGAGAAGACGGCAAAGATTGCCTTTTTCAGGGCGCACGAGAGTGGTGGGCACTTCGCGGCGTTGGAGAGGCCTGAGACGCTTTGGGCGGATGTCGAGGAGTGGGTCAAGGCTGCTTGGAGATGAAGTGGTTAAGGCGGTGAGGTCAACAATTTCCATCACAAGTTTAGAATGATGATGTGCACATGGTTCAACATCTTCAGCCTGAAAATCATGTCGAGAAGTGAGTGAATGGACGATAAGCCTATAATTGTTGTCGATTGTGTTGCTCAGTTATGGCCGCCGTTGTAGAAGCTCGACTAAGTTTCCAACGCAGTAGAAATCGCACCTAGTTGTTAGCCTTTACGTTCACATGTCGTCCGTCAGGAGTCCAGACTTTGACCATGATGTTGATCAGGCAGGCAAGTTTGGGACCGATGAAGGATTTATCGATACAGCCGCATAGGGTTAGCGTACGTGGCTGTGTCTGGCTGCGTCACTCCGTATGACGCATCTTGTACCAATAACACATCCCTACCTGCAACAATGCTGCACGTCTAACCCCGTCGTCGTAAGGTGAAACGTGCCATTGCGGAGCAAGGCCAGCATGCTACGGTAATAACTCGCAACACCTGTACTTTTACCTTTGCCCATCGCTGCCCGTCAAACGTCCTTTCTCACATTCTTTCTTTTACTCTGCCGGATCTCCTCGCGTCACTCGCTTTGCCGGAGACCGGCTAGCACGGCTTCAACAACAATAATCATCGCGATGGCCCCTTTCCAACTCGGAGAGTTAGGCACAATATGTAATTATGCCAAAGTTAAATACGAAGAAAGAGTCGATACGAAGAGGCGCCGCAGCAACCATAGACGCTCAAACAGCGACCCAACAATGATAAGCTCCACTAGTACCCTTAAACGCAAACCCCAGACCTACGGCAAATTACACAAACCACCGAAAGTAGAATCCCTACATGAACGACAAGAACGGCCTCGCAACAGATTGCAGAAACGCAGACCGGCAAGCGTTGTGGGTGCAATTACGCCGCCGCTTAATTTCTTCGCATTGGAATACGTCCCTTATCCGTATAACACACAACCAAGCCAGTTCCTTGGCGTGTATTCCAGTATCGATACCGTGACTGCCGCTGCGTTCCGACATGGCGCGTATTCATTCTCAAGAGAAGGGCTGCTGGATGGAAGCGAGTACCTGAGTCCAACGGGCCGCATTAAGATTGTTTCGCACACCATGCAGCGCACAGGTGTTACGGCCGTTGTACCGGAGGATAAGAGCCACAAGTTTGACAACGGGGTTATGAGGCTAGATATCCCGCATCCTGATAGTCAGCCTACGGCCCGCTTTGATAGTCAGCAGGATCTTAGCAACGAGGTTAGCAAGGAGGTGGTTTTTCTGGCGCTTCATGAGGGACCGCAAAGCGCTTTTTGCATTGGCATGTTCCCAAGTAAGACTTTGGCGTGGGGTGCTTGTCTTAAGGACAAAGCGTGGCTTGAGTGGTCGGATCCGTTGACTGAGGAAGAGAGGAGTGTTGAAGAGAATGACATGCCGCGAGTCTCGGCGAGACTTGTAGGGAGTGGACGGCATGCGTGGTTCGTGAGGGCTTTTGAGGTTGATGGGAGTTGAGGCGTGTAATGGAAGACGAAGCACTACTCGGACGAGCAAAATCCGCCACGATCATCTAACTTTTCGTCACTGGCGAACAAGCATATTGAAATCGTTCGTCGAAGACCGGACGTGAAACTTCCAAACCACCAGTATGGATGGAAGTATGCGACAGCCACATGCCAAACATCGCATACCCGAAGCCAAGAATACTGAAGAAGACGGTTTCACTTGGAATCCAGACGACATGACTACCGCTCGAATAAAACAACGCATGTTCTGAGTACGTCCGCAATCATTATTGTGCGTGGATAGGCACATCGTCATGGGAACACTGAACAAAGAGATCTGCAAAATACAATTCATGAGAAGCAGGGTCATTGCGTTTGATGCGAAAACTCAGCAAGGATGTAGCAATTACTAGATGTCTTCATTGGTGTGGAACTGACTCTATGGTTTGGAACCACCATGACATGAAGTCATGCTTTGCAGATTCTCAGAACAAATCCTCTGTGGCGCAATTGGCTAGCGCGTCTGACTGTTACACCAGTGGCTATCAGGAGGTTGGAAGTTCGAGCCTTCCCGGAGGAGGATGCTTTTTGTTTTGTTTACTTCATCTTTTTTGCCGATTTTTGCGACTGATAAGTAGAGGGAAGCTGCTCTTCATGTATTCAGAAGTACTGTTTTGCCACGACTACGTTCTCGAAACAATCAAAGAAAATCGAAGATTTTTAGGATATAGTCATATCAACGGCTTCTTTCGTCTTCGCCCGCATGTTCTCTATGAACCTGCATTATGCTGTCCTTATTGGCTTAATTTTCCTGTTCTCCAGCTTCTGACATATGGATTAGCATACTCTATTTCGATACTCTACACCATCACTAGAAAGAAGCAGCAAGACCTCAACCATAAACAGAAGCCAACAACTTCGCAATTATGCCGGCACACGAACTACTCCACCTTGTTTTCATTCTTCGTGTACACAGCACATACAGCATCCTTCTCCACCTTTTTGTCGCACAAGGCGGGTGTGGCAGTGATTGTAAAAGTGTGAGGAGCATGGAGTTGATAAGAACAGCTATCAATTGATTCGTCGACACCTAAAATCAAATAGAGAATACATAGAAAGAAAGGCATAAACTCCGCGGAATCGATAAAGGGTAGATTTCGTTGGAAGAAGAGCCCAGATGCATGCTCAGCTTCCACTCATCTTCCAGAAATGGAGAGCGACAGCGCATACAGAGCTCATTTTCCTTTTTCTTAGACGAAGGGAAAAAAGGACTAGGAAATATAAGTGCGTGCTGCTTTTCTTTCAAAACCAGGCAGACGCATTTACTCTTGTTGACATCTTCTAGAAAAACAAAGTAAAAAAGGTGTCTTCCTGAACCCTGCTGTGGATATGATCGTATACTACAACGTGCCCACAAATTACCAAAATGGCATCATTTAGGACAAGAAGAGAAGACCAAAATGTTGTTAACTGTGGTATGTTTTGGTCTAAAGAAGGACGAAGTCACATGGCCGATTTGGAAGCTTTCGAAACGAGAAAGCAGAATAAGAATGTCTTCTGTCACTTTCGCACTTGATGAGCTCATAATTGATGACACATTGATTCTGGTCTAGCAATGCTGACTTTAGATTAACAGCGCAATGGGAATTTACACATGATAAATGGTATATTCGGTTTTAGACAAGACGAAGACGCGACATTGTCGTAGCGTATGATACTTCCTTGAGTTGAAAGTAGAGAGTGGATACACATGCTAAGCTAAGGCTCTCTTCTGGTGAGTATTCGAGTGAAAAAGTGTTGTCTCTCACTCCTGTCGTTGAGGCGTTCATGTATGACTTCGCGCTGATAGCATCTCAATGTCAATGACGCCTAATGAACAACATAGCGAAAACACTAGCCATAGTACGTTCCTGTTTATGTTTCTATTCCCATCTGCTTGGCTACCACAGCAAGCATGCTTTACTTTATTGGTATTGGTATTTTGAGGATGACAGGATTTAGAAGTAGTCATAGGCGTGATCCTGAAGAGAAGCCGGGCTGGGTTTCCTGCAACCATACTACGACACTACATGTCCCTGGTTGTCAAAGCAGTCTTTGACAAACAACAAATGATCTGATTTTATTATTATTATTGAACGACCCTATGCATAATTTAGAGAGATGAACAGTTGTAATTGTGTTGATGAAAGCAAAGTAGGAGGATGCTGGTGAATATGTGCATCCGAAAATTTGCGATTCAAAGTTTACACACTGGACAGGCGTACGATGTGAGGGGGCCAAGTTTCCGGGAGCACATCCATCCATTGCTAGAGCATTCCGAAGAGTTGCTCAAGCCATATAGAAACCAGTACTAGAAGTAACTTACACTCCTGACAAGGCACTACGCTATTTGTTGCCATACAAAATGCGGAACACATCCTTCTCAATGCCTTTGAGCTCTGCGGTTGACGCGCTGTGCGAACACGAAGCGTGTAACTGCCGGAAGCATCTCGTTGCCAACAAAAAAAGCCCCCTTTGCAAATGTCGCAATGTGGCGATGCGGGTACAACAAGTAATTTCCCGACGCACGTCTACTCTGCCCTGCAGCACTGGGGACTACAACAGCTAGGCTATGTGCCTGGTGGCTGATACGCCCACATGTTATAGCTGATAGCTTACGAACATGGATCGCCAGAGACGCATGCCACTTTGTAGCTGGCCGTGGATGTCATATTCGCACTATTTTCTGTGCAACATGTAGGGAGCATAAGCATGGCATTATTGTTCCTCAACAATCCACTATCAGCACGTCGTAGTCGCTTGCCAGATGTTGGGAAGGTCGGACGGGCAAGCCAAAGTAGAACAGTATCGTTGAATCGAAGCAATGGTCGTTTCGTAGTAATCATGCGCAGCAGAACAAGAATGCTGAATGGCTACCAGTGTGCTGGGTAAATGTGAGGTGGCATTTTCTGAATGGGTGGGTTGTGTTGACACGCCACAATAGTGCAAGGTCCCACAATCCCTTGTGTAGCCAGATGTTCGAGAAGCTGTAAAGGCTTGCATTTCTCAAGTTTCGTAATGCTGTCACGTTGAGATTACGAGTCGGTCTGGTACAAGTTTGATTCGACAAAAAAGGATGTGCAGCCTGAATAATTGTGCCCTTGCATTACGTGTGGTATGCAGCCTCATACGCTCGGCAGGACGCGTTCCGTCCCTGTCGCGCATGTGGAAAAAGTGCCGTTTCATTGTTACGGGCAGCTGTGCAGGCTTGTGCAAAAAGCCGCATCGCGAGATGTCAGAGGTGGCTGCAGAATCGAAGGCGTCCAATGTAGCCACCCTCGCTGCTACTTCGGCGTTCATGTACGATGGAGGAGCTGATGTGCTCCCAGAACCAGGGAGACGAGCCGGTCGTCTCCCGCCTTTAGGGTCCTCGGCTGCGCAATCATTGGTGGTGATCTGGTTGCTGGATCGAGGCGTTCCGGTGGCTAAAGAATGCGAGAGTGATGACTTCAGCTTATCGCGAAAGCAGGTGCGTACCCCGGAAACAGCGCACGCATAATGCTAGGGCATATCGACATCGCTGGGACAGAGTATCGAAGTAGGTGGAGCAGTGCTGAGGCAGCGCTACACACGATGGTAGCTACTGCGTGCTCTACATTGCTTGATTTCAATGCGAACGGACCTGTTTGAAGATGATTTATGAAACTGTAAGCGCCATTGCCCAAGTAGGGTCTAGCAGCAAGTATTGGAGATATGGCAACTATATTCCGATATTGTATGATCGTCGTCAATGTTCAATAGCCGGGCGCCATGATGCGCAGCAAGGTCTTAATGTCCTTGTGATAAGATATGATCAGCTAGACTCGCTTGTTAGCGATGATTGTGGCGCCTGTCGATCCGGTTTTCTGTTCCCGTAGCTCCAGGTCAGATCTTGCTTTTGACAGCCGCGAAAGCCTGGAGCCATGCATGAGACGCGAACATGGCGTCGCCAAGTCGCCGCACATGATCGCCATCACTCTCTCGGTCCAAGGCGTCGAATGGTAATCAGCCGCGGCGGATTCTCGCATCTGTCAATGTACGAGGCTGCGATGGCGTCTGCGGGTGGAGTCGAGATCGGTATCGTGAGGCGAGAAGGAACGAATATCCCTGTTGACAAGCATGACAAGGGAGGCACCACTGAACCTTGGAAGAGTGACTCAACAACGCCTGATCCTTCAGAACATCACTTCAGTTTACCTCGGGTACAAGGATGTTTGCAATGAAGCATGTAATTCTAGTACAAATTCAATCCTATACTACAGTTGCTGCCCAACCACGTCGATGCAGCAGACCCAGGAACCCGACCACGCATGACAGCTGGCGTTCGCGCCCTACCTTCTCAGGCTCACAGAACTATATCGTTGCCGCCCAATACCGAGAAGAGATACTTGGTTTGATCGAGGTTTCTAGTTCCTGCGTTGCGTTTTCACCGGAAGCTGCGAGGGCGCAAGGGTGATCCGGTGTATCCACATGCATTCGTCTCGGCTCTATCGATTGTGTTCCACCTCATTAACCCGTGCGTCATCATATACCCCATGAAATACCCCAAGCGCCCGCGCCGGATCATCTTTTCCTGCACCAAAACCCAACAGCGAAAGCAAGCATGTCCAAATGCTCGTAGATGCATCTATCCATGTCGTGAACATGAACCATGCGTGCCATTGCGTTCATTCCATAAGATCTCCCCACTTTTTTCCAAATGCGGATATGAGAGAAAAACCGAGCAAAGCCAAAAGGCTACAAAAGAAACGTAATGACGTGACAGAAATGCTGAACAGCTAGGAGAGAACCGTGGATGCAAGTGTTTGACATAAAGGAAAACCGATGCAGATTGACTTCCACAGCAAGCGGCTGATACCTTGACCCTCTCCATGACTGCCAAAAGAAACCAATGTAACAATACGCCCCATGAACGATATATGTACAAAAAGAAGCAATTCTTGTCGTGATGACTGCGCTCCAGTGAGCGCACGGTGCGGACGCAAGCGTGTGCGGGGACGACGTGTAGCAAGCCTCTCGAGATGAGTGTCAATGCGCCGCCTCGATGGCGCTCGGGAGCGGCACTGCGATACGCCATCAAGCAGATCACCGTAACTTGAGATTGCTAAGATCACCGCCGGCGCGCGGTAGACGTAGGTCGTTGTACTGAGGGACCAGCGCCGACTTCTTCGAGGAGGTCCATGCAGGAAGTCAACACTGCGCAACGTTAGCAAGGTGCTTGGAGAGCAGACGCGATGTGGTACTGACTCGCTACGATTTCCTCTTCCCATACACCCATTTGGTAGTCGACAAGACCGTGCTTCTCCATGGCGTCGCAATTCTTGACGAGTTGGGTGCCCATCTTCTCAAGAAACTCATAGTCGATCAGCGATTTTGGCGGTTGTGGTCGCTGGCCCGTTGTGGTCATTTCCTGCGTCATGGTCTTCTGCTTTTGCAGTGTAGTGAGCCAGCAGGTGTTGAATTCTTCCCACAACTGCAGACGCTGCTGGTAGTAGGTTTCGTCGTCGCGTACTAGGCCTGCTGCGGTCAACTCAGCTGCTCGCTCGATACTGTGGGCACCGGAGAACTTACCCAGCGTCTCAGCCCAGTGCAATAGCCAGTCGGACATTCTAAAGAGCAGTGTTCCGGCTTCGCTAAGGCGGCCGTCACGTACATGCTCAAATGTCTTCTTGAGCTCGTTCTGGTAGTTTCTGTAGAAGTCGTCGTACTCATTGCCACTGTTTGGCTGGGGCTCGCTGTAGTTGCCCTGGGAGTAGGCCCCTTGAGAGGGCGCCTGATGGGGGTCCGTCATGCCAGCGGCAGAGTAGGCGGGCGCAAGTGCTTCTCGGCCGACCTGGGCTTGCGGTGCTGAATAACCTAACGAAGGATACTGAGAAGGAACGTTTTGCGCCGCGATGGCAGAGGCAGGTGCGCTCGTGGGCCCACTCTCATAGTACTGCGGTTGTGCCACGCCAAAGCCGGTGCTCAGGACCTGTATAGCCGAGTCCCTATTCTGCTGGTACTGTTCCACAGGCTCATACTGCGACGAGGCTTGCGCCGAAGCCTGGGCGCCGGGCACGCTGTACATTATGTTCTGGCCGTAGGGCGAGTACTGCTGGGGTGCACGCTGAGCCTGTTGTTGCTGTTCGGCGGCATAGTCCTGGGTGGCATAGGCTACGGGGGATGCTTGAATCGATGAGCCAAACTGTGCACCTTCACCGTAAGCGTAACCGTAACCCTGAGAGCTGGCGCGACTTCCGGAAGAGGGGACGGAGGTAGGTGGGGCAGGAGCTGTCAAGGGCGGCTGCCTGAAGCGATCGGGTGCGCTTACCACTGGATACGACGCCTGTGGTGGAAGGAGCGTGCCTTGCTGGCTCGCGTAACCTGAGGGAGTATGCCGTGGCCGGCGGTCATTGTCCATCCCAACCAGCCCGCCTTTATACTGCAGACTGAAGGGCGGTTCGAGTGCCCGGTACCCCAAGGGCGAGACTGGCGGCGTCGCGTAATTGGCCAGCTTGCAGGCTTGCGGGATGTAGGTGATGGAGGGCCGGCGCAAGAGGTGGAGAAGCGAGGGCGCAAGTGTCGTCGAGGTATGCGCGGACTGATGGAGAGGTGCGTAAGAGATGCGTCTTTTGGCGGGATGCGTGGAAGGACCAGAAAGAGTTGATGGTTGATGTGGGCCAATGGTGGTAGATGTATGACGTCCGAAATTGGAAGAAGAGATGCTCCAAGGTCCAGATGGTTTGGATATAAACACAGCCCTGACGCGTCGACGAGCGGCCAATGGAGCCCAATGATGCAGGAAAAGAAGCTCGCGCAAGAGCCTCGGCCGGCCACCAGGATATCCTCGCTTTAGCTGCAGGAAGATGACTGCAATGCAATGCTCTGAGGTCCGGGATTGGTCCTCCCGATGCGGTAATGTTGGAGAAAATGTGTGCGTAGTGTGGATCAGCTAAACACGTAGCCACTAGATGACAGCGAAATTGTCCGGTAACTGCAGGCGTGGAGAACCCTGTGAGCGATGGGCTGGTGGTGAGGCGACGCTTATGCGTGAGATGTTTGAAGGGTAGTCCTTGCAAACAGATCAGTGTTCCAACGAGTCGGACGGAGTAGAGGCCGGGCTAGGAGATGGTCTCAAACAATCTAACGTCTGCGTTGCGGTAGCTCAACGGCCTAAACGTACGCTGGCGTTCTTCACGATACAGTGTCTTGGAGCGCACTGGGCGAGCGGGAGTACATGCAGAGACGAATGAAGCGTTCGGTCCGAGACCAGACAGAAAGTGCGACGGATGGTAAATTTGTAATCGCATGCACTTGCCCACGGGTAGAGAAGACAGAAAGGCTCTATTATAAGAGTCGAGAGGAGAGGAGCAATGGCGCCCGTGTGAGCTCGACGTCAGTTCACTTCTGCCGAAGATGCTCACCAGGGTGCATGTGGGGGTGGTGTGGTCGGCGATGCGATGGCAGCCAGGCTGGATGAGGGCAGGAGGAGAGGTGGGCGGGAAGTGATGCAGAGACGCTACATTGGGAGAGCATCGGGCAGTGTGGGAAGCAAAAAGGAAGTAGTTCACAAGCCACGCCGGCGAACAGACTGTAAATGCTTGGACCGGGGTGTTGAAGCTAGAGGAGAAAACAATGGTGGGTACCTGAGAAGTGGGTGTGGCTGCAGGTCGGGCGAGCGAGGGCTGACGAGTAAGACGACTCCATGAGCTCTGAATGACAGCGACCATGCGAAGTCTCCGATTTCCGATATGGCCAGGGCGGGGCTAGCGATACCCTGTCTGCCATGGTAACGGATCGCCCATGGTGGATCTGCAGGCGTCTGGGCAGCCACACTGCAGGGCATCGTCGCGTTTGCTCTGCGTGACCACCACTGGATGCAGCCGGGACGACGACAATGTCAGCGGCACAATGACAAAAGCCAGCAACTTCATCGTGGCCTCTCTTCCGTCTCTCCTCGGCGCAACCAGATGGCGTTTCCCGCCTCGCGGCTCCACAGCGGCCAAATGTCGCAGGTCGCTGGCCCAGGAACTCCTCCTCTCACCCAGCTGGTCTTGGCAGCAGGACAGTGACCACGCGACGCATGGCATTTGTCCGCCAGTACGCGTGAAGAGCTTGATGACAAAGGGGCCCGGCGCACTGTGGGAAGACTAACCTCGACGAGCGCGTTTCCGACCTGTTTCACGCAACAGGGCGTTGTTCGGTTCATGAAGCGCGCCTGCGTCGTCTCCTGCTGCCAAATCACCAAACCGATGTCGAACCTGGATAGCCTCATGGTCGGCAGTGTCTCGTGTAGGTAGGTGCTGACAGGTGTGAGAGAAAGTTTAGGGGCTATCTCGGGCTCCAAACTCGATCTGTCCTTTCATCTCTGCAACGATGCAAGTTCCCGTCCACGGGCAGGGGTCTCTCGCCTGTGGTCGATCTTGCCTTAGGCCACTTCACCCATCAGCCTCACTCGTCGATCCTGATCCTGCGAATAGGGACCTTCCCTTTCAGAATCATCGACTGGCGCAACCCATCCATACTCAAGCCGCGACCTCGCGATATCTTCTCCACGCTGCGACTCCTCGAATCTTACGTCTGCGGTACAGTGGGGCTAGCGCCATCTCGGTCGCTCCTGCCGGCAAACCTCACTGGTTCTTGCCGTGAACCTTCCGTCATCTCCTCAACACGGCACACTGCAAAACACTGACCACCGCCCGTTTATTCCAGGCTAAGAGGGCGCCTTACACTGTCACTGACACTTGAATTGCACGCTCTGGCGCGCCACACGCCTCGCGCGCTCCTGTGCCCGGACCGTCTCACCATGAATGTCCGTCCACGTGCCCTCGGAAGATTGCAGCCTTCTGGAAGCTCAGCGAAGGTGCACAGCATGGCTTTGCAGGACACAGCCATCGCGTCACGAAACCATTGTCGTTCAACTTGCCCACTTTCGTGCGATCACAGCCCAGACGAGTGCGTCATTCGGCACGGATGGCGATCATCAAGTGGCCCTGGCTGCCGCATCAACCTCCACCACCGCGCTTCGTGAAATGATCAAGGACCATGGCGAACATGCTTCGAGAAGGTTTCACTTTGTTCGACAAACGCTTGACTCGTTCCCAGCTGCAACCACCAGGGAAAGTCTCGGGCAAGTGCCGTGGTGCACCGTTTGCGCGTCTCGCGGGACACGCGACAAGGAGGTCAAACAAGGAGCTCCCATCACCAACGGAGATCCAAACGGCAGCCTTCTTTCTAGCGTAAATCTCCTCATATATGCCTTCAGCTACGTAACGTTTTTCTGCGACATGATCCGGAGCGACCGAGACGCAAATGCGAGCGGACATAGCACAGACGTTCAGGTTAAAAGATCATTGGCCGCCCTATGACCACGTCTAAAATAGAACATCTTGAAACGAGTCAGGGAGGATCTTCACACCTCTTCGCTCACTATCTTCCGGCCATCCCATCACTTTGGTTCCATGTGCCACCGGCAATAATGACTGGAGTGACTTTCTGTCGCTGTTACAGGACTTGCAATGCAAATCTTGACCGTCTTAAGGCACTTGTCGAAAAGCAGTCATAAACGCGAGTCCGAGTCCGAGCGCAAACACAAGCAAATCAACAATATCTCAAAGATCGCATCAATACTAAGTGCTGGTGGTGGCGCAGCCATTCATGCAATGAATATTCTCTTCATCTTAGTTAGACAGCTGTCAGAAGCTGCCAGGAACGGACCGAGAAAGCAATAACAACCAGCAGCGCGGGCAAGGTTGTGCCAGGATGCTTGCTTGAGATGATACTGAACCGGGACAGAAGCACTGTGAGCAGGGCAGACCAGCACAAGGTTCAAGGCCTTACGCGTCCTGGAGTCAAGGACACAATTGATCGAGAGGCATTGCCCTGTACGGGTAACGCCGCCAGAGATGAGGATCGTATACGCACATGGCTGTCTAGGTTTGCGACGTTGACATTCAGGGCAAGATCTGGGCATCTTTCCACGTGTTGTGCCTGTAGCACCCTGTTCCATGCACACCGGTACGGAGCATTAAAAGCGCTTTTAATGCGGACAGTGTAAGGCCGACACCACCTGCGCAGAGATGGACGACGAGATCGAAGAAAATCCTAAAGGTCGCTTCTTGAAATGTCTCATCGTACATTCACCTATGCTAAATCTGCATATGACCAGCGATACAAGCACAAAACATACAGAAGTAGCCTCTTATCGCTTGACCCAGGTGGGCATCTTACGTGCCTTGACGTGGCCTGGCTTCTTCCTCTCCACCTTCCTTGGATCGCGTGTTATGGTTCCAGCTAAGAAGCAGTCAGCAATTGGGTCCGGCATGCGCAGGCGAGACATGTTTGGGATCATCCAGGGTTATTTGGCAGCGTTTTGAGGCGTGGGTAGACAAGGGCATGTGTCAGACACAAGGGCTGCATTGACAATGCCTACGGAACGACAGAAAAAGCAAAGCTGGGTTGAAAAAACCCACGGACAAAGAAAATATTGACTTACCTCGTCGTAGCGCAGGCTTCAGCGCCGGCTCATGGACCAGCAAAGATTTCGCTACGGCCAGGGTCATTGCTTCCGCCTGACCAGTCAGGCCACCACCCTGCACCAAAGCAAAGACGTTGTACTTGTCAAGACGCTGGGTAGCCTTGAGTGCCCACACAGCGCTCTCGCGGTGGTGTAGCCTTCCAAAGAACTCCGAGAGGGACTTGCCGTTGACCAGTACCTCACCTTCACCTTCTACCAACCATGCCACAGCAGAAGATGTCTTTCTCCGCCCGACACCCTTGGCACGTCCAAGCTCATCAATCACGCCAGGCTTCGGGACAATGTCACCAGGCTGGTTAGGCTTCTTGTACCGTAGCATTGCCTGCACAACCTCATCGGGCATGAGGGAGGGGTGAATGCAGTTCAGTCTCCGCAATATTTGCAACATCCTGTGATAACGCGCCGTCTTTACTGGTTCGTTGGTCATGATGCGGTACTGCTCGATTGTCTTCCACGCCACTTTGGGTGCTTCGGCGGGCGGTATGACGGGTAGTGTAGCGACCTTTCGAAGGAGAGCAGAGAGGGAGAGGAAGTCGTCGGTGAACGTAGGCTTTGCGCTGAAGTAGGAGGGCGATGCTGGGACAACACGCAGTGCCCCGAGGTTGATCTTTTTGTCGCTCTTTCCTGCGCCACCGCCGGTGCTCTCAAAGTCGATCTCGGGTGCCGCTGTGAATGGCTCACGTAGCTCTTCCTCTGTGACCTCTGCACGCCGTGCGGTCGTTGTCGAGATGCATCGCCGCGTTGTGGGCTGAAAGCTCCGCTGAGCATATCGAATCGTCCGTTCGCATTGAGGTCGTGGTCGGCTTCCCAGGGCATCGACCGCCCTCCATAGACTCCGTGAGATCTCCCTGCTTGCCATTGCACCTCTGATGGATGGGGAATGCGCCGTGGTAGCGCTCTCAAAGGACTGCCACCTGCCGTAAACTGACGACGAGCGCTGCACGAGCCACATGCAAATGCTTAGCGCCTAGGCTGAAATTATGGTGGACTGTGCACAGCAGATTTCCTACTGCCCCGCAGCCCAACCAGCCTTTTTTCTTCATCAACACCTGCTTCCACACACTGATTGTTCTGCTCAACCACGGTTAACTCTACAATCATGTCTTTCGGAAAGCTCTACAGTTACTCGGTACGTTGCCGCACCCACAAACGCGAAACTGCACTGCAATGAGTCCTAACAGCAAGCCAACAGGGTAACCCGCGTACCACCTCTCTCCTGGCCGTCGCGAAGGAGAATGGTCTCGACATCGAGTTCGTCGACACCGAGCCTGCCAAGGGTGTCTCTGAGGACTACCTGAAGCTCAACAAGCTCGGCAAGGTCCCTACATTCGAGGGCGCTGACGGCTTTGTCCTCTCTGAGTGCATCGCCATCGCTGTCTACCGTAAGTGCTACCCCGCCTGTTTGCTCCTTCCTGCGTAATATGATGTCGAATGTTATCATTCAGTTATCCCTGTCTGAAAACTATTGTTGAAAACTTACTATTCTGATTTGCGTCCACAATCATCCCTCCGTTCGTCCAGACTTTGCTGGTGACTCAGAGCTGACCGATTGCAGTTGCCTCCCAGAACGAGAAGACCAGCCTTCTCGGCAAGACCAAGCAGGACTACGCCACCATCTTGCGATGGATGTCCTTCGCCAACACTGAGGTCCTCTCTCCTCTCGGTGGCTGGTTCCGCCCCATCCTCGGCCGCGACCCTTACAACAAGAAGAACGTCGACGAGTCACAGAAGGCCGCTCTCAAGGCTGTCCACGTCATTGAGGAGCACCTTCTTACACACACCTACCTTGTTGGTGAGCGTCTGACTCTTGCCGACATCTTCGCTGCCAGCATCCTTGCCCGTGGCTTCCAGTACTTCTTCGACAAGCAGTGGCGCGACTCCAACCCCAACACTACCCGTTGGTACGAGACCGTCTACAACCAGTCCAGCTACTCTGCTGTTGCCCCCAAGCTTGAGTTCATCTCCGAGGCGTTGAAGAACGTTGCACCAAAGAAGGAGGGTGGCGAGAAGAAGAAGGAGCAGCCCAAGGCCGCCCCTAAGCCCAAGCAAGAGGAGGCTGAGGAGGAGGAGGCCCCACCTGCCCCCAAGCCCAAGCACCCTCTCGAGGCCCTTCCCAGGGCTACATTCGTTCTTGACGACTGGAAGCGCAAGTACTCTAACGAGGAGACTCGTGAGGTTGCCCTCCCCTGGTTCTGGGAGAACGCCAACTTCGAGGAGTACTCCATCTACAAGGTTGACTACAAGTACAACGATGAGTTGACCATGACCTTCATGACCGCCAACTTGATTGGTAAGTTGACTTGTCCTGGTTGCAAATGATCTACTTGCTAATTTATTCAGGTGGTTTCTTCACCCGTCTCGAGGCCAGCCGCAAGTACCTCTTCGGCTGCTGCTCCGTATACGGAGTAACCAACGACTCCGTTGTCACCGGTGCGTTCGTCGTCCGTGGCCAGGAGGCTCTCCCCGCCTTCGACGTCGCTCCCGATGTCGAGAGCTACGAGTTCACCAAGCTCGACCCCACCAAGCCCGAGGACAAGGAGTTCGTCAACGACCAGTGGTCGTGGGACAAGCCCATCGAGGTCAACGGTAAGACCTACGAGTGGGCCGACGGCAAGGTGTTCAAGTAAACGCTTCGCTTTCTTTCTGAAGTGGTTGCTTTGATTTATGATGCGGATGATTTACGAACTAGCATGGGTAGGGATAGGATGACGGATGAGGATTCATGAGATCACGCTGGGCAGCCCTTGGTGGATCAGCGATACTGCCATGGCCCGTTAGAGGCTCAAAATGCTGCACAAGAAGTTCATGATACCCAACACATATTTTTGCCTTCATGCTGTGATGCCCTTTGTGCGTCTACTTTGCTGTCTCGTATGCTAGACCAACATGCATGTGACGTCTTCTTCCACACAGGTGCCTTGTTGATTGCGCACTCAACAAGAGCTGGGAAATTGGTCTACCATGACACTGCGTTGCCTAGAAGCTGTCAGGTGTTCGCCAAACCCCAGATCTGGGCTCGGCCTGGGCGGGGCCAACAACAGTCGTGGCTTATCGAACCGAGCCTATCATTGGTTGAGAGGCGGACAAGGGAAGTAGCTCTAGCCAACCGCCGAAGCCGTCGAGAGCAAAGGCTGGACAAGACAGACGGCGCAGGCGGCACGCATAAGGGGACATGCATGGCCTTTGATCCTCGAGTCCTCGATTTCCATTCTCTCGATCTCTGCGACCACAGGCGCCGAAAGTTGCGGTGCTGCAGCGGTACTAATACGGTGACATTTCGCATCGCAGCGCACAGCCGCGCTGCAGCTGCTACATCCGATCGGGGCAAATCTCCTACCTTGGAAGGAACAAGCAGCGCATTCGTTCTGTCGTCATACCTGCAACAACAAACCGAGATCGCGTGCACACTTTTTCTTTCTTGTCGCGCAAGGAGAGAAAGATCTGGAGACGGGACCCGAAGACTAAGGCGACGCAATCGTTGCTCAGGGAAGTCCGGCCTCCTGCGTCGACTGTTGGTGGATCGGAATCCGGACGAACGAAGGAACGGACAGCCACATCATCTGTCGTTCACGCTGTGTAACGTAACGACTTGCGCTACGGGGACCTGAGAGCTCTAGCGACGAGAGGAGAGAGTTGTTCGCCTTTTAAAGAATTGTTGCTGCTGCGCCAAAGGGGAATAGATATTGTTGCTTTCTCTAGGCGCCAACGGCAAATCGTGAGAAGAACACGTGAGATTGGACTGCGGAAGTGGCTTTGTTAAAGAGCGGGGATATTGGACGTCTCGTAGCTGAGATAAGTTTCCTGCGATCGTTGCTTTGGGGATTGCAGGTCTACGTACGAGGTTGCGAAAAGACGAGACTGGAAACATCTGACAAGAGAGCTGGAAGAAAGGAAGAGCAGGAACGACAAGGGGATGAAAGAGGATAGTGGAAGAGTGGTGAGGAGGTCTTCTGGAAATGCAGGGGAACCTGCGATTCAAGTGATTTGTTTGGTAAGTGGTGGCTGTGTTTGTGGCTACTGATGTGTCTAGGTGCATAGTCATGTACTTTACATGGGATGTCGCAATTTATACAGCATGACGGCCACTTATCTATCTCGCCATCAAAGCTAATACTAACAGGGCTCTGGAGGTGGACCAAGCGAAGACAATGTCACAGGCTTCCTCGTCCGATCGACCGCAACGAACTGGGCTAAGAATTCCGTCATAGCTGTAGATGCAGGCTCCCATCTTGCATCAATAACCCGAATACTTGGGAGGGATTTTCCACTCGTCTCTGACCCAGATCCACCATTACCGACCTCGCGGGCTAACAACGGCAATGGAAATGTAATTGACATACATACTGAGTCGCCGTCACCAGGCACCGCGCATGTCTCACTCTCCGATGATGACTCTGGGGCTGAGACACCTGATTCTGAGCACGAATTACCAGTTACGATCACCACACTGCAAAAAGGTGCATTCGCGGGTTTGCCTTTTCCTCATCAGAGCGCTAGAGCAAATGCGCTTCATGTTGTTAGGGAGCATATTTCGACATACCTCATCACCCATCCACATCTGGACCATGTGTCAGGCTTCGTCATCAATACAGCAGCTTTCCATAATACATCACGACCAAAGCGACTAGCAGCGCTGCCGTTCACTGTCAACGCCATCAAGAACCACATCTTTAATAACATCATTTGGCCTAATCTTACTGACGAAGATGGAGGGGTGGGCCTTGTGACGTTCCAGCGGCTTGCAGAAGGCGGTAACATTGCCCTGGGTGAAGGAAGTTCAAGAGGGTACATCGAGGTGTGTGATGGTCTTGGGGTCAAAGGCTTCAAAGTAAGTCATGGTCACTGCATGCAAGGACCGGGCCATGTACACCGCGGATCAAACGCCAACCTACTGGAGACATCAAGTTTACAGCACTCAAATACTTCTCAACCGTACGGACTATCAGACGGCCAAGAAGGTCGCTCAATGAGCTTCTCTGTAGCAACGCAAAGCGCACCCGGCACTCCCGGTTTTAACAGCAGCACAGAGGCCGGTCGACGAGCCAGCGGAGTTACAGTCTCCCAGCCCCAGCAACCGCCATCCCAAGATCACTGTGTGATCGATTCAACCGCCTACTTTATCCGCGCAGAATCCACTCTCACGACCCCGAAACGCGAAATCCTTATTTTCGGAGATGTTGAACCAGATTCTCTTTCTCTTTCGCCTCGCACACATCAGATCTGGAGCGAAGCAGCTCCCAAGATCGCCGCCGGTATACTGAAAGGCATATTTATAGAGGTTTCTTATACGAATGCTCAAGCTGATGCTGTCTTGTTCGGGCACCTAGCCCCACGCCACCTCCTCGAGGAACTTAGTAGCTTCGCCGAGATGGTAAAAGACAGTAAGAAGAAATACGAGCGCGAAAAAGAAGAGATGCGTCTGCAGAAGAAGAAAAAGCGAAAGCGAACCAGTGGCGGTGCAAACAATGCACTCCAACTCGACAGCCTCACCTCAGGCGAGAACGGTCGGAAAGCAAAAATGGGTGGTTATCTGGGCGGAGTGGGCAAAGGAATTGATTCCCCAATCTCGACGACGAACTACCATTCGCAGACTGATGACGAGGTTATGAGTGATCTTCCGCCTTCGAGAGGAGATACAGGGACGAATACTCCAATTCCCTTCCCTCCTCCACTTCAGCATCATCAGTCTTTACATTGCAACCAAATACAGGAACAGGGACAGGAACATCAAAATGGCACGGCCGAACCACAGCACTCCCACCCTTCAGCCCCAGCGGCACTCGGTCTCTCATCAGTCTCAGCGGATCATAACCGCGCCATACTATCTGCTGCTTTTGACGCTCCACTCAAAGGTGTCAAAATTGTCATTATCCATGTCAAGGATTCTTTCATGGATGGGCCGTTGGTTGGGGAACAGATATTGAGAGAGTTGAGAGAGGGGGAAGAGGTTTTGCAAGAGGCTGGAAAGGGTTTGGGATGCCAATTTGAGGTCAGTGCTGCGGGTGAGAGTTATTGGTTCTAGAGAGTGCTGGTTTTGTAAACGTAAGGGTTGGATGGTGGAGTTGAAGCAAACTGGTTTGGCGTCTTAGGTACAGGCCTTGGCTTTCTTCTGGATTTTAAAATGAATCATGGGGTACGATAGGTGGGGTTAGGGTGGCATTCTGAGTATATGGGTTCAAGTGAGTTGGGCTTCCAGGTGGCTGAATATTACGAAGGAGCTTGTTCCATTTAGATTGTATCCTCGTGCGGCAACAGCTACCTCATAGGTATTTGCTGTACCTCATAACAGAACACTCCTGGAATAATGCAAGTGTATACCTCTAGGATATCTTCTCTAGGAAGAAAGTAAGACATAGAGAATTATGATATGCAATTGTGTTTAACCAACGCTAGACTGACCTGTCGCATGCTCTTCCCTCTTCTACCCTACACACTTTTCTATCTCTCATGTACCGCCGGACTAGAAATGATCGGAGATTGTGTCGTATTGAACTCAGAGCAAAACTTGTCCAAAAGGTGCTCGTCGTGTCATAAGTTTATAGGCTAAGAAATTGAAAGGCTGTGTATACTTCGAGGCAAGTTATATCACATAGCCTATAGAAGATGAGCTCCCTCGTAGGCAATCACCTCCCTGAGGTACTGTAAGATGTCATGTGACAAGACATCTTTTCCATTCTTCGTGGACACTCAATTCCCCTGCCGTCCTAACCTCCATTCTATACCATACTCAACAACTCGATTGATGATCAAGAGCACACCCTGGCGCATTAAAGTCAGCCTGATCCTCGAATCACTTGAATGTCTCTATCACGGTCTCATGAACGTACCGGTATACCAATAAACCACCATCCTGCAATCCACATCGCATTATCCATAGTATAAAACACTCCCACACATCCTGCAGCCCAAATATCAATAGTCGCACAGCTCATAATTCCTCTCGTCAGAGGTAAGAAGCGGTTACACGCTCGTGGACGGTGCCACAGGAAGTGGGTGAGGGCATGAAGGAGAATGTTTGCCTGTTGCGATTAGCTACCTAAGTAGGTGGCTTGCACCCGTAAAGAGATAGGCAGTGACTCACAGGAATGAACACCGTAGTGATATAAATGATGTTAAGCTCATGTACGTTGAGTCCTCCGATAGTCATAACTGCACTGAATGCATAGCCTACCACGACGCCAGTAGCAATCCAGTAATACAGCAAATGATGCCTCCAGGATGATACTCTCCCAGTCTCTACGTTTGTATTCGGTTGCTGCATTGCAGATCCTCGACGTGCAGTCATGTGGCGTAAGAAGGAGGGCATATTGAGGTGGTGTGTAAATTAAGAAGTACACGAATGCGAAAACGTTGCAAACCCGCCAAAATTCAGATGATGATGCGGAGTAATCACTCGGAAAAGCTAGTGACCGCATTACACCTCTTTCGAGGACTGCATCTGCATCTGATTTGCTGTTTGCTGACCAGCGGACCTTTCCGTCATCGTTTCGTCCCTGAACCGGGCTGAGTAAGAGGTTACCGTGGTACTATCTGAGTTTACTACAAGTACTTTCAATGCACGACATCCCCTCAATCAGAGTATAAGCTTCGTACTCACATTAATTTTCTATATTCACATTATTGCTGAAATTCATGCGGAGCGTGTGGCACATGATGGGACTGAAGCGCGAGTTGAGTATAAGCAGCGAGAAGTTACTTGCGCAATCAAAGACTTGTAGTGTAGCTAAGAATGTCAATTATATGTGTATTATGTAAGATTATCACTTCGTATGCTTTGTTAATAATCATTAATCACTCTCCATGCCTCCATCATCAGCGATCTAGTATGGCGTGTCAGCCTTTCTGATCGCCTCCCAATCCGTCGCAGTTTGGCCTGATGTTGCACCAGGAACGTCGTGTTGATGATGGCCATGAATAGCAGGATTACCATCCGTTCCGCCAATGCCAGTGCCGTAGCGCTCGGTGTTCATAGGCAAACCGGTGTGTGGCTCGGTGACCGTGTTGTTATGGTCCAGGTCGGAGACGGGATGCGCGCCGTACACACCCTTTCGAGTTTCGCTAGAAGGTATGTTAGAAATGTTTGATTGACGAGGATGGTAGATAGGACCTTACCGGTCGCCAGAGATCATACTTGGGTCACCGATCGGACCATCCACACCAATGTGTTCCTTCTTTCCTATGGAGCCATACGGATCAGTCTGGTGCTGCTGGTGCTCCATAGCTTCACGCGCGGGATGGCCCTTGGGTGGGTCCTTGTGCAAGAGGTGCTTGCCCTTCCAGCGTGGCGAGTCTGGGTTATCATCGCTGTAGTCCCTGGAGTGCCTGGGGCTGTAGTCTCGAGACTGGCGTGGTGAAGACTCAGGGCTAGCAGAAGACTTCTCTTTCTTGGACTTGTCACGGTGCAAGAATCCAAGAAGACCACCCTTCTTCTTCTCCTCGCCTTCATTCTCCTTTCCAAGCTCTTTCTCGCGCTGATGTTGCTCCTTGATCAGGCGTGCCTGCTCCTTCTCATGTTCTTTAGCCAGACGATGTTCGTCCTTCTCGTGAGCTGCAAGAGCCTTGTCGTGCTTGTGGACTTCTTTGTCATGCTTGTGCTGTTCCTTGTCAAGCCTATGTTGTTCCTTCTCTTTTTCGTGAGCAATCTTCTTGAGGCGCTCTTCGGCTTCGCGCTCGTCTTGGTTCTGAGAGTTGACGTAGGCTGCGCCGCCCAACCCTGCTGCACCCACAGCGCCACCTAGAACAGCAGCGTTGCGCTTGTCGTGATTCTCATTTGTGGCATTAGCCCCCCACGGTTGAATCGTAGGGTCTTGAGCATGCGTGTTGTGTGGTGCGATGGTACCTGAGGTAGGGTATGATGCATCCGTGGCTGTCTCATGCATGGGATAAGAAGACTGCGTCGCGCCTTGAACTGGGTATGCAGGCTGATCGGAAGACGCAAAGTCTTGTTTTTGACGAAGAGGAAGTTGAGTTGTGTTATCGTTATGCTTGGATCCTGCATAAGCTCCGGCTCCTAATCCAGCGGCTGCAAGGCCTGCTCCACCCAGAGCAGCGTTCCTATTGATGTGGTCGTTAGGGTCAGTGCGATTCACATTGCTTTGAGTAGTAGGGTCGTTGTAGTCGTATTGAGTCCTTGATGAGATGGGGTTGGGAGCACGTGCGCTGGTAGCGGTAGGGTCGTATCTCTGGTCTGGCATAGAAGCTTCAGGTTGTGTCATCCTGTGATCGCCATATGCATTGATAGCTTCATATGCTCGCTGTGTCATGCTCTGGTTGCCATGGATATTTGTAGCTTCGTTTGCTCCTGGCTGTGTGATATTGTGATCCCGATACGCATTTGTGGCTTCGTATGCTCCGTAACCGGCGGCGCCTGCACCTCCGACAACAGCAGCATCACGGCCATAGTGATGTCCACTTTGTTGACCAGCCTTTTCGTCAACCTTGGGATCCAGGCGGTTCAGTGTGTCTGACTGGTGCGGTCCGACTGTGGTGTGTCCCTTTTGCTTTGATGGGTCAGGTTTGACTCTTGGATCCATGATATTAGCAATGTTGCTGTCGTGCGGCCCGATCGTTCGCGAAGCAGGGTCCTCAGCCGTGGGTCCAACGTTGTGGTGTATCTGTTTACTAGGATCTGGTTGAACCCTAGGGTCCATGATATTTGCAGCATTGCTGGAGTGAGGTCCGATAGTGTTTGAAGCTGGTCCACTGTCGGTATTGTCACGATTAGCAGCGTAGAGGCCACCAGCAGCAGCAGCTCCGGCTCCAGCTAGGCCCGCATCACGACCATAATGGTGCTCAGGGTGCCTCTCTGGAACTGCGGTGGCGGCAGGTGCCTGACCAAGATTACTTGATGGCTGCTGAGCAGTTGTGTCTGAAATTGGCGCAGGAGCTCCTGTCGCGCCATAAAAGTTATCATGTCCTACAGGTTGAGCAGTTGAGGTGCCTGCGGTAGGAAGAGGCTTTGAGAAGTTTGAAGTTGGTTGAGGAGCAACGACACCGGATCCAGTACTGGAAGTATAAGAGGGGCCTTCAGGAGGCACGGCAGTGCCAGCGCTAGGAGTATCATTTCGGTTGAGGGCGTGGTGCATCCCGCCGGCTGCTGCGGCACCTGTGCCAAGTACTGCAGCATCACGACCATAGTGATGCTGTGAGCCAGCTGTCTGAGACGGATCATGGGAGACTGGAGGTCCAGAGATAGTTGAGCCGGCGCTAGGGGCTGCCTCAGTCTTGGCCTGTGGATCGAACCTCTGCTCGTCGAACTTTTGCTCCTCTAGCCTGGACTTATCACCCAAAACGCGAGGGTCGAGTACTTTACTACTGTATGGGCTGGACTCCTCGTAAAGAGGCTGACTACTACCAACGTCCTGGGCATCGTGCTTCTTTGAAGCTGCATGAGCGCCCAAACCCACGGCGCCAGCACCGAGGCCTCCGGCAATTGCAGCGTCGCGGCCATAGTTGTGGTCATCAGCTGATTTTGGCCGAGGCTCTTCGAGTGTTCCCGTATGTCTAAGCTCGTGAGGCTCGCTTGTAGACGTAGTGTCCACAGAAGACTGAACGTGAGATGGATCCAATGTAGACGTAGGCTCTACATTCGATAGGTTTCCACTTGGTTCGGTGGAAACGGGTTGAATGACAGGAGCGTAATTGAGGAACGTTTTCTCGTCACTCGGTGTTGCGATATATTCGCCAGGAACGTGTCTATGCGACTCAAGTCGGGGATTTAGAGGTCGCTCACCGGTGCCTGACATCCCAGTCGTGGGAGTAGCAGCAATCGAAGAATGTGTAGTTCCAGATGGGTTGATGTCCTGAGCTCCATACTCGTGTCTCTGGGTAGACGGCGGAAGGTCAGAAGATCTCGAAGCAGCAACAGTCGCGGCAGCCAGAGCCTCGGGATGGTAATCAGATGTCGACTGGCTTGGGATATTGCCTGTCTGGGTATTCGTCGTAGCAGCAGCTGGCGGAACATCTCCATATGTAGCCTGGCGAGTCTCGAGACCTCGATCCTGAACATCTCTCTCTTCTGAC